GAGTCGATTTGGGCTTTAATTGAAAAAGATTTATTATGAGTGTTTATTCGGTCAAAAGCTCTTTTACAGTTTGCAGGGACCGCTCTCTTCGATCAAAAAATGCAAGAGCCCAAAGTATCCACGGAACACATTTTCATTGGTTACTTTTTTTTTTTGTCTGAAATGACATTGCTGTTTGGCACGAGATCTATCCTGTGTCAAAGATATTGAACCCGGCCATTCAGACCTCGTTACAGAGCATACATCAGTAAAAGAGCTCCACAAATGCAAAACCATTTGAAGAGGCACTTGATTTGTTTACGATAACTGACATCAGTTTAAATTTAGAGTTAAAGTTTTTCAACCCTTTTAAACTTTGACTTTGGTGCCTAAGATTTTAGTGCCATTGCTGTAGGATTGATCTGTAGAATACGGTGACGTGGTAACAGGAATGAACAAGAACCCCTGTTTCGAACTGATCTACTCCTAGCAAGCGCAGGTCAAGCACAGACCTCTGTTGAACAAGTTCCAACACGAATAAAGGAAACAGATTCCAGTTTTGTGCAAATCCATGACATAGATTTTGCCAAACCGATTCTACGCCGCATATATGATCTTTTTTTATTTTAAGATAACCGAGAATTTTGAGTAGCATTGAAGGTTTAATCGTGATTTATAATAAACATCATCTTCTAATATCCGGTATGCACGGCGTTTCTGATGGCAATTAACAGATTAAAAAGTATAGATGGATATCTATTAAAACATTTCATAAAATTCAAGTGATTGAAGAACTTTTTAACATTAGAGCTAGTATGATTATAACAACTGAATGAACTTCAAACAATTAAATTTCAGCATGCAACATTAGATAATGATATATTGAACAAATATGTTCAAATTTATCAACTTTTAATGCTTGGCTTTGCTTTTTATATCCTTGAGTTGCCAACATTATATAACCAGGTTGAGCAGCAGGGTCAAAATTGGCTCCAAAACACTTTTGATTGAATTTCTGACAATATTTTACAAACATTTTTCTTTATTATTGTTCAGTTTAGCTCTCAGCTCTCTACAACTATTCTTTTTTTATCACTCTTTAGTTTATAGAAATGCAGAGAGTGAGTTTTATAGCTCTGAAAAGAATTTCCAACAGCTCATCAGGGTGAAAATCTCTTGCTATTTATCCAGACTGATCAAAGTTTCTGAAATCAAACGGTCACGTATCATTTCAATTGTCTGAAACCAGCTTTAACAGTTTCGCTGTCTAGTTCAAATTTAACTAACTTTGGTTCGACGCTGTATTTTCTTTTAAGAAATCGTGCGCTGTTTTCGTGAAAGAGCTAATTCCTAAAAGTGAGTTCCTAAAAGTGCATTTTAATTCATTCAAAGATGGATAACAATCATACTTCAGACTTATGACAGTGTAATGTGATGTGCCACAAATTTTTTGGCAAACAGTATTAATTCTGCACCCTCGGGATTTGAAAATGTTACAGCTTTGTTCCTTCAAGAAAAGCAAAATCGAATTCTATCGAAGAACATTTCTCTCTCTAACATGGAATTAACTTACATTTGTCATTCAAGGCTCCGTTTGAGGGCTCTGTTTACTTAGTTCTTACAATTTCACAAATACCTTGTCTTCTTCAGCAACTAATAACAATCGTCAAATGGGTGCGATAACTCGAGATTTTAATCTATGAATGCGAAATGTTGAATTTCAGTGGCAGGCAATTGCGAGGACGTTTATTTCAAAACTAAAAGATTGATGAATTCAACCGAATTCATTCAAGCTTAAACGATGTCCAGCATTAGTTCCAGTATGGTGTTCGAGGCAGAGTATTTAATATTCTTAGACCACGTAAACAGCTTTAAATCTCGATCTATTCTGAACAGGATGTAAAAAATTGCATTTGGCTTCGAAAGTTATGTTGAATGTTTGCTTTGCACTGAAGTTACACTTCATAAGTCTATTGAATTAAGGGACTTTTGTTCTGGTTATCAACTGAAACGAGGTCATTCAAGTTAACCTCAGGACAACCACAAAGCTAAAGAATTTGCTTTCAATGGAGCTAAACCTGCACGCGAAAGACTTCATTTTGTTTCGATACCAATTGCCAGTTGCTAATGTGCTCCCAACCTATTTCAGACGAAAGATAAATCGGTTAAAAGGGTCTTGGCATATGTTCTGTTGCGTAGCGTTTAAAACCACTTACTGTCATGTTGCGAGGAAGTCATGCGGAGCGCTTACACATTGCTGAAAGGCTGATGCATCCACCATGATCTCGCTCGGAATGCAACCTTGTGACTTGACATTAAAAAACGCATGTTTTTTTGGCTATTTTTAAAAAGACGACATCATCTTTAAAAACCGGAAGAAAGTGAAGTTGTCAATCAAAGGAAAGCAATACCAGATATAAAAATTCTCGACTAAGTGAATCTCAAATAAGGTCAGATCATAGTTAATTGTCCCCTCGATTAACTATGGTCAGATTGTATAATATCTTGATCGAAACCTTCAGTCCACTGGTTTTTTTTTTTTGCACCTTTCCCACGACACTAAATGAATATGTTTAAGTTTAAATGCAAATGCGCTCAGCTGTCTATCGTGATTAAGAGACAACAGAAGTCTGTAAACTTTACTTTTCACAGAGCTTAAACTTTTCCAAGCGCTTAATACAAAAGAACACAAACCAGAATGCTAAACGTTAGATGAATTCCACATTTAATGCTATTTGTCTTACTCTATTATGTCTTTCTGAAGCCCGTTCAAACTTTTGTCAGATAGCGGTATAATTTTTAGTCAAGTTAATTAACCTGATGAGGCATTTACACCAAAGTTTAAACATAAATAAATTAAAGAAATTATACAACCTTCAATTTGACCCTAAAAAAATGACATGTCATACATGCGTGACGGAGGTCTGTGCAGACAGTCGGCTGCGCTATGCAACGTATTTCTTCCTAATAACCGCTTTTCTACCTTTTATTTCGGTTAGCAAAGGGTTTACATCTAAATTTCTCAGATTTAACTTTTCTTGGAATTCAAGAAGACAGCGATAGACTCAACTGGTTGAAATTATTTCGGAATTACCGTCGAGAATCGAGTGACGACTGTAAGCCGAAGTTATTTTATCCCGGCGATTACAAAAAGTAAGTGGTGCAGAATTTCGCAGCCGGTGTAGGTAAGCAACTTTGCGTACTAGAAGTATGTGCAGTTAGATAATTTCACCCGGTTAATGGCTCTACATGCAATGTATTGTAACCCGTAGTGCATTTAACTTTGTTATTACACGTAATAGTTTTCAAGGACCGAGCGATGTTCTATGTAATGATCTCAGCGATATCTCTACTGATCGCATTGAGTTCTAACTTAATGTCAAGGTTTTTTCTATCAATGTAACTGTTTTACAGGTTTGCAATATCAACCTCTCTGCGGAGTTTTAAAGTTTCGTTGCCTGAGGGGTCATCGGACAGGCCTATACGTGTTCCCAAAGCGAAAGCTACAAATCCAAACTAAGTTTAATTGTGTCCTGCGACCACCCGTAAATTATATTCTGATTGTTTTTTCGCATAACAAAAATTCTGTTACTCGTTGAAAGACCGGTCGAAAGTGAAGAGGAAAAGACGATCATACAACTCAACATTACGTCAATGGTCTCCGTGTAATTACTAGGTGTGATCAGGAACAATATTTAATAAGGTCGTGGGAGCATGAGACTGGTGACATCACTGGCAGCGATCTTTTCGATCAAAGAATTCGCTGATACTTTCTTCCACCGAGTTCTGACTTTCTCAGGGAATTCCTTCAACAAATAAAATGTTATCATTTCCGTGTGCATTTACAGAACTGCTACTTTTTTTCCTTTTCAAAATGCATCCGAACTGGCAACGACGTGCAGCAATCGAATCAATTTACATATAACACTTTTGACTATTTTGGGTAACCTGTTATTTCCTTTTGAATTAGATATGAATAATTGCTATTCAAACTCAATACTACAGCTTATAATTACTAGATTTTATTGCTATCTTTATGGGTTGCAAGAAGAAAAGAATCTGACATTGATTTCGGACTATTGCAATCATCGTTCGTAGTTAGCTGTAAACTTCCGGTTTTGCGTTCGGATTTTCAGCAGTCTAAACCCCGCTTCCACAAAAAACGCGTAAGTTTCCATAATTTGTGACTTTGTATTTCATTTCTGCTAAGCCTAAAAACAACAGAAATACAAAATACCTAGTATTAAACAATATTATATCAAATAATTGTTTTAAAGGAAAAATTAAGATTAAAATGTGCAATCGCATCGGTGAAACACATTCCATTATTCATGCTCAAACCATCGGAATTTTATTAGACTATGTGTCTGCATTTAATGCACAAGATGACACAGATTTGAGCACACGGTTGCAAACCAGTTATCTATGCTGTAGAGCAGAGCCCTCAATTTTCCAAAATTGAGTAAGGCTATTAGCTTTAACAATTAAACGTGAAGAAAAATTTAAAGGGATTTTAGTAATATCGGGTTGTTGGAATTTTAGACTGGTCAACAAAGAACCAATGTAAATTGAGAACAAAGATTATATTTTCAGAAGTCCATTGGCATAGTTTCTATTGTTTCGGTTTGATAAAGGATTACGCCTATGAATTACTTTAGACCCAGACATGATCTAAGCTTCATTCTTGGACTAGCTTTGAAATACGGTATCCGGTATTCTCTGGGAAACCGGATACCGTATAAAAGTTCTGCCCACAAGCTTTCATTCGAGTGGTCACACGCTACCCCACAGCACAGTGCGATAGTTTAGAGAAACTCTCCTACTAAGAAGGTATTCTGAGATAAATTAAAGCACTTTTCGGGGGAACTTTGGCCGGACTACATCAAGCAGTTTACAATTTTTGAAGGACGTTTTGCGAGTGCCCCCACTTTCGGAATAAAGGCCAGACCTCAACACCAAAAACTGCGTTCCCTACTCTTTGCAAGAGGTACGTGGTGTTATCCGCAGATGGATATAAAAGATTCAATTTGAAAAACGTAGCAAGACAGTTCCACATGTAAGAAGTGCTTAGTAGTTAATTACTTAGCCTTGCTCTTGCGTCTACGCACACAAGTCCTCAACCACAATGGAACGCCATTGATTTCTATCGTTTTCCCGTCTGTATTCTGTCGGTCAAACTGCTCCCATGTCCAGCTTCTGTATCTCATTCCCCTTCAAGTTTCCCTTCGAGCAGCGCTAGCTCAGCAGCTCTCATCTGATTTTTCACACTCAGGTCGTTTCGTTTGTCAAACACGAGGATCGTATGTGGACTCTAGAATTCTAGTCACCTTCCACACCCCAAGCTCTACATGAGAGACCTTAGATTTCCATAGCTTTTGTTGAAGTTGGTCAAATCCTAAAGTTTTATCTAGAAATTCACATGAGAATTACCATACCGAGCATCATTAACACTACCACAGGGAAATATTGCTCAGTAGCCTTCATATGAATGCTGACACACAAGGGCGTCTTTACAGCCTCAGACGAGTTAGAACCTCGATCGAGCTCCTTGTACAGGATGGTAAACAGTGCCAGACGGTAGAAAACTGCTCAGTAGCTTTCGCTCGAATACAAAATTAAAAGTAAGTCAATTAAGAATAAGCTATCACTTGTAAGGCTTTCTTTTATTGGCTTAAAAGTTAACTAGCATCACCTTGAACAGCTGCCAGTGAAAGTGAAACTTTTGCATGAAGTTACTGCTCAGCTGTATGATTTTACATGATTGACAATCATCTTTTTTTTTAGCTCCAGACGTTGGAGTAAGATATGCCATGAAGCTTCAGGTTCGTAGAATTCCGACGTATAACATGTAGTTCTATGTCGAAGAAGTATCTGAAAGCTTTTAGGGGAATTGTGGCAAGTTTCACTGCCTACAAACCTCTTAATGGCGTTTACAAGCAAAGAGCGAACTAATCGATGACCGACCATGTTCAAATTCCAATTTCGTCTCGCAGAGTGAATGCACATTGCTGACCCAGATGACTCAAAATAATTATATGACAATAATAGTAAAAATTGTGGTCATTTCCATGTCCGAAAGAGAACCGTTTCTTTAAAAATTCGTCTAAATTCGAAAACTATAAAACTAGACTTTCAACCAACCTTGGGCTCGTGCCAGACACAAGACATACCGACAGCCTTCAATAAAAACAATTTCACCAATTTGAATGATTATTGGTAGAGGTATTTTACGCTACCATTTTAATTTAAGTGCATTCGAACCGCAAAAATGATCGGGTTGTTTCTTGAAGACATCATGGATCATGGATTATGGATCATGGATCATAGAATAGGTATTTTAACCACAGAAATATTTTGATTGATTGGTATGTTTTCGATGGAATAAAATGACGGAGCGCATGATACCAAAATTTGTACGCGGAAGTAGGATATAGCCACAGTAGACGATAAAAATGACTTACGAAGCAAGATTAAGGTTAACTACTGAGAAAAAGACATTGTTGTCTGGTTCGTAACCAATTAGAAATGTTTTTCACTGTCGGAATCAACAGTAGCTTGTCCAGGCAAGTTTCAACTTTGACTTTCATGGAGTATGCGTCTTTTCATACAATGTGACGGTTCATTCATTAACGAAGAATCGTTCACAGAAATAAATGCACTGTTTGCTGCCTTCTTTTAGATCAACACGTCACTTTGAGATTATGCTCGTAAACATCCAAGAAGTTTCGAAACTAGCTTGGGTGATGTCTTGGCAATTTCCCCAAACGAATCCAACATGTTTGTAAGCCAAAGTATATTTACCGCTTTGACTATGTTCTGAGAACCGTAGTTCCGTTTCCAAAATAAATTTTATGAAAATTAGTCCTGTTCTCACTGTAACATATCATCTACTGCAGACTATCGAACATGATATTAATTAGCAAGGGGTTTCGATTCTTCATTAAGGATCGGGCTTAAGATCGTCAACCATTGTGATTCGAATCTTAAAGGCTGCTTTCAGCCCAAAGGGATTTTCCCTTTCTCGGTAAACAGGAACTTCGTGCTTCTGAAGCGCCCAAGTGGAACAACATCTTAAAAATAAATCTATTGTAATTATAACCTACGGCTCATTTCTCAATAATCAGCTATTGGATGAAACAGTTTATTATCAGGCTGAAGTCTAGGTACGTTCTGTTAAAAAAAGTTTCGATCTTATTACTATAGCTTTATAACTGACACTGTGACTCAAATGCAAGTTATGTTTATGTTACGCTCTCTTTTTTCGAATCATCTCAGAAGGATCTCGAAATAACTGCATAAATTTGTTTGACTCGTCAGGAGACATCTAGTAAGTAAAATATGTATGATTCCTTCTATTAACTCATTCATCTCATTCATTTGCCAACTTTTAGCGCAATCTCAAGAAAAAAATACCGCCATGAAATCCATTCAAAAACATTCCTGTGAAAAGTGTGCTTCATCCAGGCTTCATCTCTTGGTTTCATAATGAAAACCTAAATAGCTTTATTATGCACAGAAAAACTTAAACTGTAAAGAGTTGATTGTTACTTTTTGGTTTTGGTTTAATTGTTTATACCTCTACACGGAGATATTGACGGCTTCTAGTTAGAGAGCGTTTGATATTACTACGTTGTTTGACTGGCATCAGAGAGACTTGTGTCAGAAAATCCTTACATGATGTTATGAAATTGAGACGAACTTATCAAAAGCGTCTCGTTGCGAAAGTGATAAGTTTCATCTGCTCTGTTTTATTCTTCATGGTGGGCGTTTGCTAAGTCAGGTATGAGTTATTATATTTTTGGGCGATGTTAACGTCATAGAGTGTTACATTTACTTAGAGGGATACACCAGAGTGGTGTTTTACAGATAAATACCAAAGAGGTAAACTTAAGTCAAGAGAAAAACGGGGTTTGTCCTAAGATGGCGAAGAACGCAATAAGTAATTAAAAATTTCAAACTTGAAACGTCCTTTAAATTTAGAGGCATGAACCGTGAATGTGAGTAATTAGCTGATAAGACAATAGCTTCAACAACATCGGGACTATAATTTCTCTTTCTCGCACAAGCACGTTTACTCGGTGATATCATGAAAGGTTTCACGCAAATTTTACCGATAAAGAAGGGAAAATGTAAGATGCTTTGAAGCAGTCAACCAATCAATCAATTATCGAAAGTCGACAACGCGGTCAAGTTTTGATGCTCTTTCGAATTTTTTATCGGTTTGCAACGTCAATGGATTTAAGATGCATGAAATGAATTTGGACAATAAAGATAGAGATGACTACCCACATCAAATAGCTCTGCTATTTTCAACCATAGTGCTGAAACAGCCTTTCAAGAATGAAAAGTTCGCTTCCTGATTTTGATGTTATTTAGTTACTCTGAATTATTGGAACAGGAACAACTGATGGCGTTTCGTGAACGCGGAAGATGAAACATTCGGCGATACAAAATGCCTTGGTTACCGAAAGATGAAGACGACGTCAATTATTTTTCTCAAATTTATCATTAACATCGAATAGTTTTCTAAGGCACGAAAATTGTAAATATTATCCTATTCAGCCTTCCATCGATCATTTGACGAATACCGTAATTCTGCATAGATGGAGGTTGACGAAACAGTACTAGGAAGATTAATTGATGAGTAATTTTCAGCCAATTTCCTCCAAGCTGGAAAAAAGCAAGTATAGTAGTTGGGGGTGGGAGCGCAGTTTCAAAAAGCTGCGCGCCAACCACAAACCACTATTCTACTGGGAGACGTTCGATGTAACCATGTCACGCCAACACGAAATGTGCTCCAAAAATGGCTATAGTATAATGAAAGAGAAAAAATTCCGAGAAAACATTTTTTTTAATATTCGATAACCATACTATGAAAACATTTCTCGGAATTCTTACATATTATTGGCGCATTTTGTGTTAGGGTGACATGGTCACATCGAACATGTTTCCTCAATATATTTAAACTACTTTAGGAGCGCATTTTGTGTCGGCATGACGTGGTTACATCGTCTCCCAGTAGAATAGTAGCTGGGTGGTTGGAGCGCAGTTTTTTTGAAACTGCGCTCCCGCCCCCAACTACTATAACACTAAAGCAGAAAGTCCTATCGTCCTCTTGATCCGTTTATAATGCAATTTGGCGTTACCGTGGCAACCTTTTGCATGAACCCTTACGAGTGTCACATTTTTTTCTAAGAGCTACAGACAAACAGCTACCATTCCTGTTTACCAATGGTTTCAGTGATCATGTTTACCAAACGTTGTCTTTATTCGATTCTAGTCTTTTGAGGTCACACTTCTGCTTCTTCGTATTCTTCAATGGCTACCATGGCAACTTTCCCTCCAGTACATCATGCACATGAAAATCTGTCCATCTGCCCTGTACCAAGTGATATCCTCGATAATGACTTACAGCACTTGTGGAGCCTAGTGAGTCCTTATCCTTTAAATTTTGAAGAAGAATTTCCCACTGGTCCCTTGGATTTGTCCATTTTGTCTGATATACCGGACGAAAATGGCAGCCTTGTTGATTCATTATATAACCCGCAGACAGATCTCGGTGCGCAAGTTGGAGTGAATACTTTCCAAACGCCTCCTACACCAGAACCTGAGCCGGATTTCGTACAAAAATTTTCCCCTGCGATTCAAGCAATAGTCAGTCAACCACAGCAAATGCCATCTCATGACCTAAATATTTTGAATGAAGGAAATTTTAATAGCAAAGAGAGAGAGCCAACACCTCCCATGGAGATTCAACATGGAGAACCCAGAGGTTTGTCAGATGGTTCTAAGAAAAAAATTTTTGCTGCTATAATTATGTTTAATCCTTTAACCCTTAGAATTGAGCAAGTCGTAAGGACTCTCAACAAGTTCAATTAACTATCCAGGAAATAGAATTAAAAAAGTCATTCGCTAGAGAGTGTCTTCTCGATGCTCGATGGTGGATGAAATTTCGAATTTTCGAATAAATGGACAAAGAGGAAAGGAAGAAATAACTACTTGTCGGATTTGATAAATAAAAGGCAAAACTGGACCGTGCCCTGTCAGGCCTCGCAGGCATAGATCACTTTTTTCAAAGCGCACAGTATATGCTGTAGTTCATATAACCAAAACAGATATGTTTCCGTTCATCGAGGTAATGAAACATCTTTGTCACTTAGAGCGCTACTTTGTCTGGTTTTTTCAGATTCGACAGTAAGTGAGAGGAAGGAAAACAACGAGTTGGAACATAAGAAAAATCTTCTTCCAAAAGTCGATCAAAAGCCTGAAATAAAAACTGGTAAGTAAAAAGCTAAAAAAAAGGCAGGGCATTCGTTTTTCTTCCCATACTCAGTCTCTCCAAAAGCAGCATGCCCATCCCAAGTTTAAAAACAAACGACTATTATAATAATTTTCATTGCCAATTCCGTTACAATTGTCCCTGCTGTGGTCATTATCACTGGATATTGGAAACTGCATAGCTAATCCAATTCCATAAGCCAAAGGCATTGCAATTGTCTTCGCCTTTGGCAATGCCTTTGCCACTCCAAATTTCCTATTATTATTGTTATTACCATTGCCAATGCCACAGCCATCGCTATCGACATTGCCATTGCCATTAAAGCTACCATTGCAGCTGCCATTGCGATAGTTCCCATTGCCATTTTCATTGCCACTGCCACTATCACTATCACTGTCACTTCCACTGCCACTACCAGTACTACTGTCATTGTCACTTCCACTGCCACTTCCACTGCGGCTGCTGCTGCCATTTTCATTGGCATTGCAATACCCACTTCGGTTGCCACTGCCATTGTTATTGCTATTGCCATTACCAATGATATATTCATCATTTGTCATTGCTTTTGGTTGTCTTTCTCATCTCGTCGTTTACGCTACCATAACCGTTATCGTTACATGATCACTGGTAGTTCTTTCGTCGTTATCATTATTTGTATTTTCATTCGCTCAAGTCCTTGACTATTCATTACCTTATCTTTTAGAAGAAGAGGAAGAAGAAGATAACGGAGAAGATGACCGTCCAGCTCGTCGCTGCCATACCCGGTACGCTCTTCGCAATATCATTGGAGGTTCATCCAACAAACAATGCCGACCCACAGGTATATAAGTTCACATCAACCTAAACCCAGATGTATTTTTTATATTCTTATGATGATGCTCAGAAAACTCGCAAGTCATCCAGAGATAGCTTACAAACCAATAAATTTGATAAATGGTGAATATGTATTATCATCGGTACCAGTTAGTAAAAATGTTCGGGGAAGGGACACGCTCAGATAATGTTCTTGAAAATTAAAGCACAGGCCATCCTGTTTTCGTGTTTGCATAAATCAAAACCACTAACATGTTGTGCTCAACTGAGGTTGCATTCAGTTTGTGACACCCCAGCATTTTAAACCACCTTCGTGTTTAAAAAAAAAAATTACAGACACATCTCGGTCCTGGAATACGATGAAATCTTCTGATTTGGTTGGCAACATCCAAAAACGACGACAGGTAAAGAAAATCCGCCTCCACTAGCGTCCTCCTTCCTCCAACCATTGGGGGGCCTATAAATTCACAAGAAGGCAACTCTTTCTCGGTAATTTCCAAATCCGTAGCTCTATGTCCGTAGCTCTATGATTAAATGGAAACCGTTTTAGTTCAGAAAGGTTCTCGAGTTAGTTTTTGATGGGATGAAAAACTTAAAACATAACGCAGGCTTCAAACATAAGTCACAAGAGCGCTTCCCAAATGAGTGTCCCTACACCAGAGGCAAAATAGTCGCAACGGCTGGTCAAAATAAAGGAAAATGCTTCTACGAGCCTGAATTCGTCTAACTAACTTCAGCATTAAGTTTTTTTCAAATGATGAAACCTTCCTTTCCTTTTTTTTTTTTTTCATTTTTTCATTTTTAGTTCGGAAAACAGTTGTCCTGTGGAAGTTTCTTGAAGAGCTTCTTGATAAAGGTGAAGAAAACTGTGTGAGTTGGGTCTCAAAGGAAGAGGGAACTTTTAAATTCGTCGACTCCAAATTGGCTGCAAAACTCTGGGGCCAACGAAAGAACAAACGTAATATGACTTACGAAAAGCTGAGTCGGGCTTTACGATATTACTACGACCGACGAATTATGTTTCACGAAGAGGGACAGAAGCTTATCTACAGGTTTGGAGAGGTTGTTATGAAGAACAGAAGACCAAGCACTGAGGAATCTTCTTCACCGATTGTCAACGAAACAATGTAAGCCTCTGCGGGGGTTAGAGACTTTGATCACGGTTTGTTAATCATGTGATCATTTTTTAACTCGAATTACGCGAATTTTGGTAACGATTGCATCTTATTGGCTAATCTTGTCGTACGTGGATGGGAGTTTCACGTCGATTTTTTGCTTTTTTAAAATGCAAGAGGGAGACGAAAAGTAACAAGTTGATTGTTTCAAAGATTGATTGATTGAGATTGATAATTAACTGACTGAATGAAGGTTACATGATGCAATACTGATTGGATGGTTAATTGATTGATTGATGGGTTGATTGATGGATGGACGGATTGATGGTTTTGTCATGTTACAATTCTACACTTAATGGGAAGGAATAGATCATGGAATTCCACAATCCCCCAGAAAATCTTCTAATAGGAAAAACAGCAAAGCATGACGTTTTCTAAAGATTTTAATAACTTTTTTCTGGTTTTCCGTTTAACTCCCATGACTGGCCATAGCATAATATCTCGATGATTGAAAGTTTAATTGTTTGCCTCACGAAATAAAAGTAAGGGTAGTCAATCGTGTATTGATCGAGACTTTCTGATCAGGCAAGTGTTGGGAATAGAAAACAAAATATTAATTAGGAGGTTATCAGTTGATCCAATCGCAATATCTCTTAACTAACATCATAAGAATTGTATCGCAGGTACAAGGGAGAATTATTTACTGAGATTTTGGGGGTGAAAGATGAATTGAGAATAGATCGTCAAAGATGGAGAAAATTCGTCTGATTGTGAGCCACGAGCCTGAAAAACTTTAAGCCGCATTTTTTTAACGCACTCAAAAGTGCGATGTATATTCCTTTAAAAATGATTGAGCACATGCAAGCTCCCCATCCTTCCTAGTATCTGAAATTGTAACCGTATTCGGGAATATTTCAAATAAATCGGGGTTGTTATAATAAGGTATTCCAAAAGAAAAAATGATTTATTAGGTTTTAAACTTTTTGTAATTTAAATGAGTATGTTTGAAAAATTGATCACTGATCTACTTGATATGCAAGATTTTTATATCAGAAGTAAACGATATTTGTTTCAATTTTGTCATGAAAACTTTTTGTAAAGTAAATCCTTAAATACAGATATGATTCTGTGATGACCTTGCTGCTGTGCAGTTATTTTTCATCAAACCTTAATGACACACGCAGGACGTGATCAAACAAGTTTTTAACTAGTTAAAGATTTTATCTTAGTAAATGCTTTCTTAGTGGTAAGCGCTGTAATCGTTAAAGTAATAAAAGTTTAGCAAATACACATCATTTCTTGATATATCTCCTTTGTTCGCGTGTTGTAATGCAGAGCGTTGGGGAGGGGAGGGCGTAGATCCTGTTTATGGAAATTAAGGGGGAAGGGGGGGAGCGGCTGTATGACACCCAATGATGCTTCTTGAGGCAGAAATGACTTTCGCACGAATTGGGGAGACTGGAATAAAATTAACGAAGTTATTCGGTTTTTGTCCTTTTTAAAATTTGACCGCGCGTAAAATTTCCTAGATAGCCGCCTCTTAGCGAGAAGGTCTACACTTACAAAGGTGATAAATTCTGTTTCCTGCTTACTTGAAGTAAGATGGACAGCGCTGATACCAAAAACTGGAAATTGGATTAAGATGCTCTTAACTGAGATCATAAAGAGGTTAATTTGCCTATAACTGTTTATTTCACGTAAGATAATCGTAAAAGGGAGAAGACAGCTCCGTTTACGTTCTCTTCTAAGAAAATCACTAGAGGGTCTGAAAGGGCTTAACTAGCGACAAGGGGCGAAAAATATAACTGACTACTAACAAAACGCAAAAAATGGAAAACCGATTAGTACCAAGAAAATACCAACCGACAACGGACATGTTCCAACATTCTCGACGGCTACCTTATAGGAGGTAGCCAATTTAAATTTAAGTTTCAGTTTATCAAGGAAACTTGCTTTATTTTAAGCTCATTTTTGGAACAGTACCCAGTCTTCGAGCCCACGAATTACCTAAGGAATAAGAATAATTAACTTGCATTTTTGATCATTGACTGAAATTTACTGACAACGGACAAGGAGTGAAAATTTTTTCCGACTACAGTCAAAGTAATTAAAAGTTGTTACCGACAAACAACAAGAGAACCCCCCCATTTAGACCGTCTCTCTGGTGACGTGCGATTAAGTGAAATAGCCATCATCCTCTCCTGTTATAAAACTCACAGAGGGAGCTTGCTGGTTGTTTGAATTTTTTCACTTTGTAAGTTTGATCATCGAAAGGAGTTGTAAAAACACGATGATGAGTGCTCGCTAAAATGCATGTATTCGTACTGTTATGTGAATGCAAATGATGCCTGTCTTTAAAAATGGTACTTCTCTGGAGTCTTCCCCTAACTGAAAGTGGTATATGAAAAAAAAATGTATGGCTTATAATGGCATGGCAGCACCTGATTATTATAAAGATTGTAATCCACGGGTAGTGTATATTCTAGCTTGATTTACTGCACAGTGGATCTAGCTCTCTTCCAGTTTACTGTAACGTTACTTTAGCAACTGATCCATAGAATTAGTGTTCGTTGACTTTTGTAATGTACTGATCCCATGTTCAAGCTGAAATGAATTTACATCTACGCGTCAGTCCCTGAACAAGACATTATTACCCCTAAGATCTGTTTTGGAGTACAACTGACAGGTTTTCCATTTCGCACTATCACCCTACTTATTAGATGCCATAGAACGGGTTCAGAAACGTGTTCTGGCAATCATCTACCCCAACATCGACTACGTGGACAGCTTGGACCTCAGTGGAATTTTAAAGCTAAGCGACAGGCGTTTAAAAGCATGTGACAAACTTTTCAATAACATTTTTACTACTCACAGTCACAACCTTGGACATCTTCTACCTGAAAGACACATTCCAAGATACAATCTCAGACAGACTCGAGTCTTTGTTCCCCCAAGAGCTGTAGATTTACGAACACCTTTATACCGTCTTCAGTTGGAGTTTACAACGAATCCTGATATATTAATTATGAACTATATTTTCTAATAGACCTAGAGATATAATGCCCTTTTTTATGACACATAATTAGATCACATAGATTAAATCCAACTTTGTAATTCACGTTTTCAATATTATTCAATTTATATATTTATTAATTTTATCTAAAATTATTATTTTGTGTACACGCAATTCAGCCCTCCAGCTGCAAGTTGCACTTTTTTTTCAGTAAACAAACAAACAGTACATCTTAGTTAATTTGCGTTCGAAACTGACTGTTACACGCGGAGCTGAAATCTTGCCAGTCATAATTAGGTAATAAGCTAAAACTGGAATGTTTCGTATTGCTCTCTTTCCTATGAGTTATCAACGACTGCGAAGAGGAAGTGGAAACTAATATTCGAAACTACTGATGCATCGAAGAAAATTCCGATTCACCACAAGCTGTTCATTAGTGATCCAGAGTGCATAGGTATTTAGATATGAAGCAAAGCTGGAAGATAAGGTAAGCAATAACGACTCTAGTTTCTAAGCGTGTGCAGCTAAGAGAATGGGATTAACCAATTCCTTATTTGATTTATGATCAGAGCTCGTTCCTTCCCCGATATATCAAAGCAAAGCTGGGAGAATGGGATTAACCGATGTTTTTCATTTGATTTATGATCAGAGCTCAATACTTCCCCGATATATCAGATAGGATGAGACCCGTCATATAAATTAAAACAGTGACATGCTTACGCTGCCGATCGATTTAGTTTTTCTTTTTTTGATACGCATTTTAGTACACAATTAACACAATCGATTCTAAATAAACTGCAGTATTTGCTTGCGAGAGTCCAGCGATACTCTAATACACACTGTAATCCATGTGGAAGCACTTTTTCTGAAGATATTACGGTTAGTTTTCATTTCTTTCATGATGGTCGATATGCGTTCGTTTAAATTGTACTTACTAGGCGGTGAATAGATAAAATGAAAACCTAATGAATACTAACATAATTCTCCTTATGCATTTAATTAAAGTTGCGATGGTTTCATTATAAAAGGTCTACAAAGCACAGTTGGCGACTGGCGTGTTCAAATGAGGCAATTAGTTATAAATAGCCGCTCTTCATTGTAAAAAGCTGTGCGCCGCTCTTTGTTATTCCTAAGGGAAATCGCTAGAAAATAAATTAGTCAAAAGATCGCATTGAATTCTTGGCCGAAAAGAAAAAAATTGTCAGTGGCGAATTAGTTTATATCTTTCCTTGGCGTTTTTACGAAAACTGTGAGATCGACATAATGATGAAGAAAAAAATTCTATATTAATAATTGTTCGATTGAATCTTCAAATTGCGCACCATTTAGTTGGAAAGAAATGAAAGAAATCACATCACTATGGAAAACCCTTTGTCTTCCGCTTATGAGCTCTGTGGAATAGAGATTTTTCCTTCAATTTATCTTTTTTGGAAAAATGAAGTAGCCGACAAGCTTGGTAAGTGCAGTAAGATTGGGTAATTGTTTTCAAAAGGGCAACGACAACGGTGGAAATTATCAAGCAGATTATGTATATTTTCTTCTGAGGTTTATTAATCTTTACCGCCAATCTGCCAGTCCAATGCATAGGACGCAAAACGCAAATGCGTACATCCGCCTCCACACCATCCGAAAAAATAAACGGATCGGTGCGTCATTGCCAAGATTCGAAAATGAAACTCAGCGTTTTTCTTCTTTGTGCCTGTTACTCATTTGTCATTTGCATGTATTTTCAAGTGTCAAAGAACTAGGAAGGTCTGAGGAAAGACAATAGTTTCCCAAAATGGCTGGCAGTATTGTCGATGTCAGACAAGGTGTGCGCGATGACGGTAACTGACGCAAAGATAAAAAAGGCGTTACCACCTCAAAAAAAAAACTAACCGGAGTTTGTTGCGAAAGGAGGCTAAATCAAGTAGTTACGTCAACACAGTCATTTCCTAAATCTGGTCTCCAAATAGAAATATCCAGAACTAGAACGGATAACAACAGAAAGAACAGCGGTTAGCCTATTCTTATTTATCAGACTTTCATTGTTTCTCTCTTTTTTGTTTCCTCATTGTCCTGAACAATCGACGAATCGAAACTGAAAATTTGCGTTTGTTAGCATGGTTGAATGCCGTCGTGTTAAATTTCCCGCAAATACAGATCATAGAAAGAATTCTAGAGGACACATCTGTAAAATGCTACTGAGATTTTGACTAAAATTCTCCATAAATGACCAGCAATCCAAATTTCAGCAATCCAAGCACTTTTTGTTTTGTTTTTGTTTTTTTGTTTTTTAATCTTCGTTTCTTTACCTTTCTACCCACACTGTGTGATAACTTATCTTTATTTTTTCGCTGACGTTAGGTTAAAATCATTCGTGTTTACTTTCGAAGGATATTGCATTTCATTTTGATAAACAGGAAGCGTCTCGAATCGAACTATCATATAAGAGCTAATCATGTATTGTGCTTCGTATGTCAAATTTTTCATAAATTTTTGGATGTTATAATGAATTATGTAAATAATATTTAACAGTTATTTGAGAAGCAAACTAAATCCGGTAAGACTTCATAAAAAATTAAGCTAAATAGGCGGAGGAAATTACTAAAAGAAAGACATTTCTCAAATAATTACAGCCGTCATTCTAAAGATTATCAAGTGTAGGGCTCTTGGTTTAGTTCATAAGAAAAAAGCTTGCATAACCACTTCGTCAGGAGTTACAGTATCACCTTCACCTCCTACACAGGTGTCCAATTATTTATGAATTCTCCTCTCGTCTACAAATCCTGATAACGACGCACTTCCGTTTGCCATTTTCTTTTCTCTTTTTTTAATTCACTTTCTCACGGCTATGATGAGCAACGAATGCGAGCTTCGTCGGATCGCGACGAATATTAGACCATAAAAACTCTCGGTCACAACATCTTTTCGATTAATTCTGGGGCGAGAGAATAATTTTAACGGCACCAAAAATAGCCTAAAGTTTTCTCTTGTTGACGCGTGTCTCACTTTTCCATGGATGTGAGACCTTGAAAAAAACTGACAGAAAAATTGTCTTGTCGGTAGCGGTGGACAAACAACCTAAGAAAGAACGGAAGTCTGTGAAAATAAACAAATGATTAACTAAGGCTTGATTTCCACCACCGTTTCGGGAAATGACTTCAATCCTCCCGGGAAAGGACTTCAGGGGACGGCCGCGGCCTAAATGACCATAGTGAATTTGAATTCCTCAGTACGTGGGCATATTTCCCGAGGGACCGCCGGTTATTCAGCTCAACTCAGTAATAAGCAGAACATAAACAGGAAGGCAATTCAGCAGAGCCGGGATCGAAACCGGACTCAAAAAGCCAAGACTGAATTGAGCTTAACGATCTGACTTTTTCGCTGAGAAACCCTCTATCACTGGTTGCTATTCTTTCAAAGTCTCAAATGTAATTCTCCGAAAACCGTAGTCCACAAAAAGGCAAAGTCGAACCGAGCGATTTGCCTTTTCCGCCGAAAACCGCTCTCTCACGGTTGCCTTTGTACCCTCTCTATATGAAATCTAATACCTCTATCTGAAGGTCACACTTTCTTTCTTTTGTGTGGGTTGTGTTATGAATTTGGAGTTGAGTGCAAATAATATCAAACAGGTGACAATTACAGGCCTTGATTTTCATCACCTGTCTTTTCAGGCATTGTATGGACAATTTATATAGCGATTACGAGCAGGGGTAACAGGGTTTTTGAAGGGCTGTACTCTGTACTCGACAAAAAAAAAATTAAAGATTAATATTCTTCATTTTATTTACTGAAACATTAATCAGTTATTTTCGATTTGTTTGCTTACAGCATGGCAACATAAACATAAAAATTTTCGATTTCCAGGATTAAAATTAGTTTTCCTTTTTAAGTAATGTTTCCATGTTTCCATGTTTCTATTTCCATGAGTTACATACTCTTATATAAACATTCTTAACTATCTCTTGACAACCAGTTGACCTTTTCCTACGACCGCCTTCCCTGTAAAAAATAATTCTGCAAAAAAGATCCATCGGCGATATTGCTGTGATCGAAGGTTGCTCCAATTTTGAAAGGTATATCGGTACGTGCGGCACAAAATTTTGCAGTTTTTTTTTTAACGCACTTTTTTCCAAGGGTAAACAACTACTGTTCCACTGTAATCGCTAACGGTTGCTATTTCTTTTTTTTCACTTTCTCACGGCTATCATAAGCAACAAATGCGAGCTTCGTCGGATCGCAATGAATATGGATAGGAGACCTTGAGGATAACTGACGGAAAATTGTCTTGTAGCGGTGGACAAAGAACTTAAGAAAGAACAGAAGTCTGTGAAAATAAACAAATAATTATCTAAAGAAGCAAAGAAACGAAGTCTCTTCAGGAAACACGAAATAAATCTAAAATAGTGACCCGAAATCTGATTAAAGGCCAATTACCGGAAAGGAAAAACGCTTATGCTCGATTACTCCCTGGAATGTTTCTGCTCTCCGTTAAATGAGAACCTAAAATGGAGTTTTTACAGTAGATGGAAGAACAAAGATAACGTGGTTGTTTTAACTTCCGTCGCTTTTATCGACGGAGGCTTGATTTTCCCCACCGTCTTAGGAACAAATTTCATTCCTCCCGAGAAAAGACTTTAGGGGACGGGCGCGGGCCAAATTACCATAGTGAATATGAACTCTTCAGTACATATGCGTATTTCCTGAAAGGCTGCCAGTTATTCAACTCAACTGACAAGCAGAACGTATCGAATTCGTAAATCGAAAGGCGATTCATCAGAGCCGGGATCGAAAACCGGACTCAAAAAGCTAAGAATTGAGCTTAACGATCTGACTTTTTCGCTGAGAAACCCTCTATCGCTGGTTCCTATTCTTTCAAAGAGTCTCAAATGTAACTCTCCGAAAACCGTAGTCAACAAAAAGGCAAAGTCGAGCCGAATGACTTGCCTTTTCCGCCGAAAACTACTCTATTACGGGTGCTTTTGCACTCTCTCAATCTTAAATCTAATTCTTCTATCTGAGGGTCACACTATTCATTTCATGTGGGTTGTGTTAGGAATTTGGAGTTGAATGCAAACAATATCAAACAGTTGACGGTTGTCTTGATTTTCATCACCTGTCTGTTCAGACATTGTGAGGAAAATTTACATAGAGATCACATGAAGGGTGACAGGGTTCATGAAGGGCTGTACTATATGCTTTTTCATTTACTGAAACATTAATCAATAATTTTCGATTTCTTTGTTGACAACGTTGCAACAGAAACACGATAATTTTCGATTTTTCCTTTTTAAGTAATGTTTCACTGTTCAGTTTAGACGAGGTACCTCTTAAGCGATACTCTTGGATAAAAGATTTTGAACCAGTTGTTGACAACCAGTTGACTTCTTCCCACGACCGCCTCCCCTGTGAAATATAATTCTGCAAAAAAGATCCATCGGCGATATTACTGTGATCGGAGGCTGCTCCAATTTGAAAGGTATATATCGGTATGTGCGGCACCAAATTTAAATTTTTTTTTTTTTTAACGCGCTTTATTCCAAGGGCAAACTACTTCCACTGTAATCGCTAACCAAAGTCTACGAGACAGAACGCCTACGCGGCCTTTCTGTTCCGCACGCCGACTTGTAAAAACAAGAAAATATATGGGTCTAAGCGGTGAAAATGTTTCGTACAAAGCTTAATTTGAAAGTATTTTTGATCAGAGTATAGTTTTTTTCTCCATTTTGATCTCGAATCGTTCACTCTTTTGCGCATTCCAGGGTCTACCCTTTGAAATTTCATCAATTAGATCGCAAAATGTGAAAATTAGCTCTTATTATATAATGTTCGCATAAACAAACGTTATCCTTAAACAGTCAAAATATCACTTATATTGTCAGAATAATATCGTAAATCTAAAATACAGTATTGCCTCTCGGCAAGGTCTCAAATATTTCATTTTTCATTTCATCTATATGAGATTCCGGAAGCGGCCTCCGAGTTTTCACAGGAATTTCAGGGAGTACCCCCTAAGGGTGATACTTTTTCGCTTCGTCATTTGTGACATTTGCTGTAAATCCTTTGTTTTTCTTCCCTTCAAGTTTGTTGTTGCCTTCATCGAAAAGCGACAACCGGAGGCAATCGGAACTCGAGTTGAAAAGGGGCGTTTGAAAACATGTCGCAACTTGCTCGTTTATCTATTAGCGTGTGATCACGGGATAAAGAAATTGCTGCCCGCGCAGCCACGATCAAAACCTTATATGGGAATTGTCTCTTTTGTATGTAAAACTTGGTCTCTGTTGCCCCTGTGCGTGATTGTTCCCTTCATTTTGCCGATTGTTATGTAATTCTGCATCCATTGGTTTTTTTTTCTTTTTTTTTTTTATTTGTTTTTATCCGCTCAAAAAGGATGGGCGTCATAGCGGACTGTTCCACTTTCCTTTTCTCGTAGGCAAGGTTAGCGGAGGAGGTATTGTCCAAAAAAGGAATCCTGGCTGTCTGTTGTAATCAGACACCTCACTGGCGAGTGACCTCAAAATCGTCAACTGCTATATAACATTTCAATTTGGGGGCAGAGCCTTGGTAACAGCTTAGCAGAAAGAAGAATAACATTCATCAAAGGGCACTCCTCACACTGGTTTTTAAAATCGCACGTTGGCGCTAAACGCATCGTTGAATCACCTCTGCCACAGCTATCCAAGACATTTTTAAGTAATTGACTGCTTCGGCCGAGCAGTTACAGATGGCAACGACGATTTTCAAACTCCTGCTGATAACTTATATCAGTGCAGAATTTGTGAACAGTCAACTTCGATCGATTAATCAAGGACAAAGGTACCCTGACGAGGCTGAAATAGAAACCTGTGGAAACATCCGCGACATTATTAGACGAAATTCAGCTCGCTTTCGAAAAATCCTCGTCAAGAATACAAACAGTGAGATTAACTTCGCAAACGATGACTGCCGTCGAATGACTGCTCGAGCGAAGAGCAAGCTAGATGTGCTCGGATCTACAGTAAGACGGCAATGGAGCAATGTAAAATTGAAAGTTACTTTAGCTTGGACGGACCAAATAATGCCACAAGCGCCGATTTCGCTTCACTATGAAGGTATGACGACATAAACCTTAAAAACTTTACTTTAAACTAAATTAAAATCGATGTGCGGAAAATGAAATCGAGAACAAAATTAATTGATCCTCAATTTCCGTTGAATGTTTATCTGAAAAAAATTCGCTCACGAATGTGTTTTCTCTTGAAAATATATACATAAATTTTATATTCACTAATTCCTAATAGTGCCGTTTCTATTCTTTTCAACTAAATTATTTCACAATGACAACTGCTCAACAAAGTCATCGGTCCATGAAACTGCTATTTTGGTGAAAGAAGGACAGATCACGAAGATTGTGCAACTTGACCTAAATGTACTTTTCAATCAAGCTCAATAGGTTTCGCAGACACTTTGCCAAACAGAGAATTTTATCTAAGCGAGCTAGTATTCCCCTAATGATCAAATTCTAATATTCTTCATTTACGAATCAGTATGGAAGGGATAAATAAGATGAATTTTATAATCCTGTTAAGCGATCGAATTTTTACTTGTGGGAGAGAAACTTGAGCTTTAACGTAAAGTTAGTTAAATCTCGTGCAACTTTTGTTTTGCATATTCGTGGTCAATCCTTTAATTAAACTGCTTTATTTAGGACATTTTAACAGCGACAAACAATATTACTTCCAGCGTCGATGGAAAAAATATCGTTTATATTAGTTGACTAAGATAGGAAAACACCAAAAACAGGAAGATGAAGCCAAAAGAAACGAACTAGTGACGAAGAGTTGTGATTTTAATTCGCAGATTACAATGAAAATTTTTGACCTTCTAAGCGACTTTAAAATTGACGTTGGATCATAAGAAAGGTGAAGGAGTTTATAGTCTTCTCAAAAAAAGGAAATTGTTTGACGTATGAGATTCTAGCGCACAGATTTTCAGCTAATTCACAACCATAAGTCCAAGATAAAATTCATTAGTTTTCACCCCTGCAGTTCTTTCCGTGCGTCACGTCTCCATAGGCTGATTTTGGATTTTGGCCAGTAGCAATCAGCAAACAAATAAATAACTCATTCTTCTAATTGAAACTGTGCATAATAGACTTTATTATTAATCTGCTTGATTCATTTCGTTATCAGTTTCAATGACTTGTTTTTTTTATATCTCTATCTAATAGCCTTTTTCAACGAGTCCGCTTCTCTACACATAACACGCAACAGGATTGTACTACAATATCATCTCTTGATTGCGTGACATTTGCAGAGACACTGTCACGCTACCTAAGTTGGGAAGTTTATAGCCTTTATCGCCATCGGTTTAATACAAGGAGGTTTTTATTTATCTTTCGATTCCTCTGTTACTTAAGAAAAAAAAAATTAATTGATCTTCCAGGACGTGCTGTTCGTCTCCAGACCTCTGATGGTGACACAGGAAAGCTATCGACTTTAGCAGGCCTGGCTGTACAGGCAGGATTTGACTGGGTTCATTATGCAACCAATTCTTACATCCATGCAAGCGTCATTCGAGATGGTGAGCCTTAGTTGCACTTTTTCTCAAGCAAAAATAGACTATTTCGGGATAAATTTATGTCAGACAGAGAGGGAAAATTACAAATTGAATCAGGATTAAAGGCAGATTCTACTGTTCCTAGCAAATAATTTTTGACAAACTGAAGTAGCTAGTAGTATGTTTCCTTCATAAAAAATGATGCCTGACACCAGCGTGGGACAAAAAAAAATATCTGAGACCCTATGAGAAATCAAATCTCAGATCTACGTATTTCGCAATGCGATGTTGTAACACAGAGTAAACAACTGGAAATTGTTGGTGAGCTGGGCAACCAGAGGGTGCGAGCAGTCTTTAGGCGAAATCCGTCGCGCCAGTCCAAAAAAAGCATCGTGCGCTTGACTTTATTCGTCAAGCAAACCTGCCAGGGGTTATAACTCTTTTTTTAATTCTACTTCTCAGTTTGCCAGACATCCGTGGATCTAGCCTTTATACTGGACAGTTCAGGCAGTGTGGGAAGCCATAACTTCCAAAAAATAAAGGACTTCGTGAAAAATGTGGTGGACTTCTTCAACATTGGTTCATCCGGGACACACGTGGCTGTGGTAACATACTCCACATACACAAAATTGGAATTCAATTTAAAAGCCCATCACACCAAGTCGGCGATCAAGAATGCAGTAGGAAACATAAATTACCGAGGGGGGTGGACATACACTGCAGACGCTTTGGATTATGTACGCAAGAATATTTTCACCACGTCACAAGTGAGTAGACTGGGGAGAATTTCACAACTCCTGGGTCGGTCAGATATCCCATAATTGATCTTTTCTCTTCATCTTACTAATTTTCTGCTTGAAAATATATTGATATAGTAAAGGGATATTCTTTTTTTGCTTCACAGGGAATGAGACCAGATCAAGGCATCCCTAAAGTGACTGTCTTACTTACCGATGGATATTCCAATGGGCGTGGTGTGAGCGGACCTGCCAATCAACTCCGTAACCATGGAGTAAATATCTTTTCCATTGGTGTCGGTTATAACGTCAATCCTGCAGAGTTGAATACCATAGCTTCTGACCCGGATAGCACTCACGTGTTCCGAATGAGCAGCTTTAACGATCTGTCGGGCTGGGTGGATAAACTTAGTGCAGTGTCATGTGATGGTAAGCTAAGAGGCAATTCTTCCATTTAGTAACCCTGAAAAGGATACATGCGCTCAGAAATCATGTAACTTCTCACCCTCTTTAAGAGTTTATCCCAAATTAGGCCTGACACTGTCTGCATTTTGTGCGATTCAAAAGTCATTTTACCTTATGAAAATTGAGCTCCTGAGAGTTTGAAATTATATTTGTTTGAGTCATGGTATCTGAAGGTTTCCCCTGCTACGCGACTTTGCAAATACTGGGGTCAGAATGAACGCTGGGACTGGCCAATCCTTAGACTATGACCCTCAAGGGTAACGTGTAACCACTTTTTTCGGACATTTGCACTAACTCGCGGATTGAAAATAAAAGGTTTCCGTTTAAACCATCCGGGATGTTAACGGTCATTAATGATCTTGACCATTATGGAAAGAGAAAAGGGTTGCAAAAATAAAATTTTAATTGATTTTGCGAAGCTTTTTTGGCTTTGCTTCTCACACAACAGTAAAAGAGCTCGAGGCCGCGCGAAACAACATGCCCCTTGAGGGATCTGATACAGGGTTGGCCAATCCCAGCATTCATTTGGACGCAGTATTAGCAAAGTCGCGTATTGTAAGTTCGCCTCCGACCACCTTTGCGAGTACGCCTCCTAAACTGAAACAAGTTCACCTCCAACTTTACCAGTTGATCCCAAGGTGAGTTTGAAATTCGAGTTGTTTGATTCATCGGTATCTGGAGATTTCGCCAAACTCCCTCCTTCCCCCCCTTCACCTTTACCAGTTCGCTCCCAAAGTGAGTTAGAAATTCGAGTTGTTTGAGTCAACACACCTTGTCTTCTTCATTTCAGAGGGCGCCGCTGTCTCCTCCTGTGACGATACTGTTACCACTGTGGAGAGCGACACGTTTAAATACTTCAGGACCCAATTTAGTACCGTAGCGAACAACAGAATATCTGTTGAAGTCAGCGACATCGAAGGTCAGTTGCTGTAGGACACTTTTCAATTGAGTCGTAGATAGACAACTTAAGGCGGGATTAGCTTTCGGTGCTTGTAAGGAACTTGTCTTTCTTCCTTTGAAGGGTCAAGCCCTTGACTTGCGGAATTCGAAACTTAAAATCTTAAATGTAGAGGCAACATTTCTTCAGTATCACTGAAAACTTCACTAAGGTGTCATGAATGTACGCAATCAGTGTCAGTGTTGGGTTATGTTGGGTCACAATTGTAAATATAGTACTTTTCTATCTTACTATTATTTCTGCGCCTCAAAGGAAGCACTTGTAAAGTCATTTTAGTTTCTGGTTTAGTCCCAAGATCTTGAAGGTTACGCCCTCTTACGATTCTAGAAAAATTCCCTCGTCTACAACCGAGCGAGGCGTTGTTGAATTATTTGGAAAGAAATACCAAGTTTTGCGGTGTCTAAACTTATCAATAATTTTGTAAATATCTTTTCGTTTCCATGTGCGATTGCTGATATTTATTCAAACCTGTAGGTGAATTAGTTATTGCACGAATTGAATGAGTAACGTTTCCTATATCTTCATAGGTATTTCCCATCTTTACGCATCACTAACAAGTTCCAACCCAGGCCCCATGGATCCAGCCTCGTCCAAAAATGAGAGTGATGTCTCACCTCGTGCCATTTCCCTGTCTCTATCCGCATCAAATAAGGTAGAATAAATCAGTTACTGTTATTTGAATTATGACTCGTAGCAAAACGAATTCAGAATTTTTTTTCGGCCACAAACCAACCACGGAGCGTATTGTCTTTATTTATTTGTTGTTCCTTTGTTCTTTTATTATTTTTATTTATTTATTTTTTTTTTTTGGTCTTTAGATCGTTTTCGTTGCAGTTCAAGGCCAGCACTCAAGCAATAAATTTAAATTGTCCATGTGGGATGCTCTCTTCTCGCGTGACACGTACGTTGCAAGTGTAACGGAAGAACAGAATGTACCTGTCACGGTGCTGAATGAAAAGCTGTCGCCATACTCCTACACGTAAGTGTGCTCAAAACTGTTATATCACCAGAAACCTTAATTAGTCACTTGATCTTGCATCAGGTCTTTCATAAACGGTGGATGGTCTGTCCCAAGCGTTCAGTTAGCGAAACAAGGCAAAGTAATAAAGGCGTGAAACGTGGGGGTTTGGGTCTGTCCAAGTTGAGCTTGGCCAGAATATAATCACCTGGAACAGCTAAAGACAGGGTCCAGTGGAGGTTCATGGCTGACGCCCATTGCTACATAGCAGGATCGAAGATAGCCTAATCTAAATTTTGTTTCTATATTGTTTTTATAACAGGCTCAAATACAGCATTACTGAAGGAAATGATGGAAACGTTTTCAGCATCAATTCTAACAGTGGTCTTATAAGAACGACAAAAAAACTAGACAGAGAAACAAAATCTTCCTACCGTTTGACTGTCCTCGGTCAAAACACTGACAACAGATGCCACAAAGGTCGCGCTGTTGTTCTTGTTAACGTCAAAGACACCAATGATAATTCTCCAAGTTTCCCAGATGCATCATACTCAGCAACTGTACCTGAAGAAAATCCTGCCAATACTTTTGTTACTATGGTTACAGCGACGGATGCCGATACTGGCGTTAACGCGCAGCTGACTTACAGCATTCACTCGGGAAATAACGATAAAAGATTCACGATAAACGACAAAGGCGAAGTTAAGACCACACAAAAGTTGAATTACGAAGAAAAGAGTAGCTACACTCTTGGAATCACTGCCGAAGACGGCGGAAATCCTCCCAAGAGTGATACCACAGTTCTAACAGTAACTGTAGAAGATATCAACGAGCCCCCATATTTCGTGAAAGGTTGCGCGCAAAATAACACATGTAAGTTCTCGGTGAAGGAAAATAACAACCGCAACACGCCACTAGGCTTGATTCAAGCTAGAGACCCAGACGCAGGCTGCAGTTCTTTAACTTACGAAATTGTTACGGAACAGTCCCAAAATTCTAAGGTCTTTGGTATTGATAACAATGGACAAGTAAAGGTACTTGTAAAATTAGACCGTGAATTGAAGCCGCATTATACAGCAGTGATTACAGTGCAGGACTGTGGTTCGCCAGCGCTGAAAGTTTTAACTCGCATTCAAGTGGAAGTTCTGGACGAAAACGATGAGAGTCCGCGATTCACTTTGAACTCATACAAAGCATCCGTGCAAGAAAACATCGCTGTGGGAAGCACTGTGGTACAAATCTCTGCCATTGGTGAGTCTGTTCTTACTTTTTTTGGATCCTAAGCTGCGTTCTTGGTAAGCGAAGAGATTGCAACACCAGGCGTTAAAAACAGTGCAGGTGTTCGATGTAGCAAATATATTTTTCAGACAATCGCTGGATGTCTGAAACCTCTGAACAGTCTTCACTAATTATCAATTGTAGAAATAACTGCAAATAGAGCAACTTCCAATTGAGTTTCAAAGAAATCCAGGATTGCTTTGGTTTCACTTTTCCTCGCTTTGTGATTGGTTCAGGTATTCTCAACCAATCAGATCCAAAACTAAAACCAATCACTACTTGGTCGCCCGCGTTTTCCCGCGCTTTAGGCAGTTTGCTTGTTTTTTACTTTGAGTACTCATTGGCTCTTTAAAGGTATTTTCTTTTCATATAATTTCTTCGGTTAAGGTTTCACTCAATCGAAGAGCGCTCTTTCTGTTTTATGTTTTTACGCTGAAGTCGTGATTTTCTTTAATTTTTGTTCTTCAGATGCTGACGCCGGATCCAATGGGGAGTTATCGTACAGTATTATTTCCGGGGATACGAGTGCATTTATGATCGATTCACGCACTGGAACAATTAAGAGCAAAGTTTCGTTTGACAGAGAAACCAGGGTTTCATATTCGCTTACCGTGCGCGCGAGGGATCATGGGCAAACTCCTCAGGACGGTACCGCGACGGTGGATATTTCGATTCTAGATGTGAATGATAACAAACCGGTCATAACCAACGTACCAGCGACAAAACAAGTTCCTGAAGACAAGAACACTGGGGAGGTGTTATTTGTTGTTACAGCTACTGATCGAGATTTAGGCAAGTTAACTGTTTTGGGTAAACGTTTCACCCGGGCAACGAGTCGTTTATTCGTCTCCTTTTGCTCTTTCTCTTTACACAACGCGGGACTAGACAAAATAAGAACCGCTGAGGAGAAGACAATGAGAGATCGAGACTTGGCCATTTTGAATTTATTTGAAGTTTCAGAGGAATATTCTCAAGACTTAAAAAATGTATAATTGAATTAATGGTATACCTGGCTACAAATAGGTGCCAATGCAAAAATTGTGACGGAAGGAAAATTTTTGTTATCTCAAAATTCTCGTCGATTTGTCATGATCGGTCCATGGCAAGGTGGATCCACTTTTAAATAGTGGTATTTGACGAAGTTAACGACTTGAAACTTCCGTACTTGTGCAATCATGCAAACTGTAATCGGTAGACACGACATGCGTATAATTGCAGACACTTGTCACCCTCATTGCAGATGACTCGCAATATTTTTTTTCGTATCGAGTAACCTTTGTTCAGAGGGTTTTTCACAAAGATACATCTTTTTCCAATTGATGTAACTCCACACCGGTCATTTTCTTGCTGTCGTTTTGATTTTTTTATTCGGTCGCTTACAGGTGTGAACGCTGATTTGCGGTATTACATCGAAAAAGGAGACGGACAGAATTTATTCAACCTTGAGGCTAAAACAGGAAGTTTGACTCTCGCTCGAAAACTGGACTATGAAACAAGGTAGGGTTCAAGTTGCATCTACAGCTGTTTCGAGAAAGATTGTCCGAAAAAAATACACGCGAAAACCCCTCAAGGTATTGTGGATAGTTTTTAGGTCGCGAACGGTTCCTTGACCTCAGGATTTCAGAGAAATCCGAGAAAACGTCACAATAAGGATGAGGTTTCGCGAGTTTGATGAATTTCTACATTCCACTTCTTAAAATTCACCGATTACCAGATACCCAGACTACCTTTCAAGATTGTCGTGTGCACTTGTCCTTTTTTCCGACTTCCTCTCTAAAAACAGTAATATATATACCAGCAGATAATGTATACTTAAAACGGAGAGAATACTTTTTATAGAAGTTGCTTTCTAGATTTACTGTCAGCTACAATCGCATCCAGAATTAAACTTCCATAGTCATGATTAAGCATTCTAATCTGTAATGGATGTCACTGAGTTCACATCTACGGACACTCTCTTTATATATAATGTTTCCCATTGCAGAACGAGCTATACACTGAAAATCCGCGTCACAGATAGAGGAAGTCCACCTCTGTCTTCCTCTGCTGATCTTACAATCTCGGTACAAGACGTGAACGACAACGCCCCGGTATTTAGCCTCTCATCGTACAGAGCAACGGTACAAGAAAATAAAGCAAAAGGAACTTCATTCTTCAGGGTAAGATAAAACTAACCACAACTTACTTTTGATATTATCAGCATTTAATGAAATGACTTCGCTCATAACCTTCCTGCGTTTCTGTAGGAAACAGTGACGTCATTCCTTTCTCTCTCATTGTTGCAATATCATGACAGGAGTCGGAAATATCACCGCGGAGCAAAAAGGACGAACTTGAATGAAAATATTTCATAATAATTAACGGCGTCTATGTATTTTTAGGTAACTGCGACAGACTTAGATTCTGGTTCAAATGGAGCTATAACGTATGCTATTGTCAGCGGCAACAACGGGAACTTTTTTGAAATCGATGGAAAAGGTAATAAAACATTTGTTAAAACACCCCCCTCCCACCTCATCCAAGTCATAAACAGATTTTGCTTCACTTGATAAGATTTTTAAATTCTGCCATTGTTCCTGAAATTTTGGGTGCGCTATTTAGCTGATGCAATCAACTTGCGACTGAATTTCGTTGTATCCAACCAGACCTGAATTTAGTATAAGCAAGAAAGCTGGCGAAAGTCTCCTTCGCAGCAATTTTTTGTGGCTGCTATAAGCTCTCTCTCCCCCCACCTTCTTTTAAAACTAGAACCTCAACCACTTCCGTTTAACGCGATGAAATGTGTAGCCAAGTATTTTGTGACGCGACGTGTAGCTAATGAGAGTCACTCAAATGATACAAGCACTGCTGCTTTTTCCTTTGACATTCTTCGCTAGTTTTTAAGTCAGAAACACACCTTTCATTTGTTGGTATTCTTTCTCCTAGGATATCTTGCGATCAGGAACCCACCTGATTACGAAACCAAAAAGCAGTTCGACTTGATCGTAGAGGCAGCGGACGGCGGAAACCCTGCGAAATCAGTGACGGTTCCGGTGAAGGTTCTCATAGAAGATGTAAATGACAACAAGCCCCAATTTAATCAGTCCAGCTATAACTTAGTAGTCAGCGAAGACGCAGCAGTGCGTGAGAGGGTCGGAGCAGTCTTTGCTACAGACAAAGACTCAGGGGTAAGAGGCAGGCTGCTGTATACCATAACAGGAGGAAATGTGGGCAATGCCTTCTCAATTGATGGAAATACTGGTCAGTATCCCCTTCTTTTATTACATGCTCAACAAAGAATCTCGCTCCTGATTGGTCAGTGACGAATGTGCATTACTGTATCTCTCAGTTAGTGCTTGCGATGTGATTGGCCAATTTAGCGGGCCGTAATTTATTGTGCTGCCCGCTAAATTCAATAGTTTGTTTGAATTCACATTAATAAATTAATAAACATCTTACCAACCTCTTTTTCCCGGTCCGCACTGCAAGTTACGGACCGAGCTTTTTCCTCTCGCCTCGCGCCTTCGCCATCAATCTAAGCGAACTAAACTCGGTGGGTTCGCAACTTTCAGTACGGACCTCAAACTCGGTTGGTAATAGGTTTATGGGATACTAAAATTTTTTTTCAAATGACAAACTATAATACTATTGAAAAACTAAAGAAAGATTTTTTAAAGATGGACAAGAAAAATACAGTTTGTGAACGACAAATACAAACATGAAAGGGGCAAAACCGAGACAAGATGGAATTATTAAGGGCAAGATTAACAAGGATTCTAATTGATCAAGAAGAAACTTTCGGGTCGATCCTTTAATCCTTTAAACCCTAAGAGTTAGTAGCATCTAATTTCTCTTAACAATATCATCCTTGAATCACATATGAAGGCAGTAAGAATAAAGGAAATGATCACCAACTAAAGAATATCTTGATTGTTAAACAAATTCTCTTTGTCCACACCTAAGGAAACGTTTAAAGAAAAGTATGGAGAATATGCATGCTGGTGTTGGGGTGTAAAGGTTTAAGATGCGCAGGTCGTGACCAGTTTATGGTTTGAATAAAGGTACAACTTTTGCAAGAAGGTTAATCTTTGTATTATTTGTCTCCAGGTGTCCTTAGTGTCCAGTCCATACTCGACAGGGAGACAACTGCATCGTATACTCTGAAAGTAGAAGCACGCGATGGTGGAAATCCTTTCAAAGATACTCTAGTCGACGTCCAAATCACAATTTCAGATGTGAACGACAACGCACCTTTATTTGACAGATCAAAGTACGGTGCGTCTATCAGCGAGGCTGCGTCTTCAGGTGCATCCGTTGTCACGGTGTTAGCTCAAGACAACGACATAGGACTCAACAAGGAGATAACTTATGATATCAAGACTGGAAATGAAGACGGCACGTTTAACTTGGATGGAAGGACCGGATTAATCACTCTCAATCAAACTCTTGATCACGAAAAGAAGGCTGCGTACGCTTTAGTCGTGACAGCAACAGACCACGGGTTTCCTCAGTTGTCGTCATCGATCGATGTCATGGTAACAGTTGGTGACGTCAATGACAATCCACCCTCCTTTCCACATTCTCTTTACAACTGCACTGTTGCTGAGAACTTGGCCAATGGCGTGGCTGTGTGTTTCGTAACCGCTACCGACCCAGATTCTGGGTTGAATGGCCAATTGTTTTACAGCATAACATCCGGGAACGATGGAAATGCTTTTGTTATAAATACGGTGAGTTATACATCGCAAACATACACCTTGGTCTAGATCTTTGGTGACTATTTTTCGAAATGTAAACGTGTTACTCACCAAAATGGCATTGAGAACGGAAATGCCTATCAGCTTAGGGGCATAATGTTGATATCACTAAATTCTCTCAATTAATTTACGAGGAAATGGCAGTTACTCATTAAATCGTCTGGTTTAAAGAGTAAAAATGTTTTCATTCCATGTTTCTCTCTTTCCAACATTTCATTATTGGCTCATGCAGAGTACTTCCAGTCCTGGTCCTGGTTGTTGAAAGGGCGGACAGTAGCATCCACTGGATAATCTTTACCCGGTGGATAGCGCAGTACTTTTTGTTAACATTCGTCCGTTGGATAGTGTCACCTGCCTTTTAAACAATTGGGCCCTGATGTTTTGCAACCGTTTTCCCTGAGTTTGCAATCTTTTTCCTTGGACTAGCTTCCCTGGGTTTAAGTTAACACTGCTTACTAACGAGCACGGACGGAGAAATCCCAAAGTGTAATACTTGCATTTTTATTTTGACAGGCCACTGGGGAGATCACAACCAAGCGTACTTTAGATAGAGAATCTATCGCTGTATATAACTTGACAGTGAAAGCAGAGGATGGAAAAAATAGCCGAAGCATCACATCCTTAAGCGATACCACGTCCGTTCTAGTTTACATTATCGATGAGAATGATAACGGGCCAATCTTTGACCAGCCCTCTTACACATTCCACGTGTTGGAAAATGCAACGATATCTCAATTAGTGGGACAAGTGGGAGCAAAAGATGAAGACGCAGGACTCAATGGAAAATTAACGTACAGTATATCGGCTGGAAACTCTGGGGACAGGTAAGATTTGTGAAGATTACGTGACAGATTGACTGACTATCTGAGCGGTGACTAACCGAATACTAACCTGGGTCGGGTTTTTCAAAACTGGATCACGATAACCCAGGATTAGTTTGAAATTTGATTTCATATCTGAAAGCTTGAAAGAAATTTCAGGGTAATTTATTTTTTTCTATAATTTGATGATTGGATATTCTTAAAAGGAGAGAAAATTTTATCCAAAAAAGGCTTTTGAGGAAAGAAATAATGAAACCTGGATTAAAATGTAATCTTGGGTTAGCGTTAATCGGCCTTCGAACAACTGGACCCAGATGACTAACCGACTGATATACGCTAACTTACTGATTGATTTACTAACTCTCCGTTAAACCTATTGATTGACTGATTGGTTTGCTGATGGATGACTGATTGATAAATAACTTGGCAGATTTCGAATTATGGAGAGGACCCTTTTCCTGAGATGATTTTTCCACATTAGATTTTTGAAACAAGAACAACATTGATCCAGTTCCGTTATTCAGTGCTCATCTAACGTTCTGTTATTTCTTTTGTCGTTCCACTACTAGCTTTAAAATCGATCCCGCGTCAGGTGTGCTTACCGTCAACTCAGGACTGGACCGGGAAACTAAGGCTCAGTTCGCATTAACAGTGGTAGCGAAGGACTCTGGGTCACCCTCGCTCTCAGCCAGTGTCGTTGTCACGGTAATAATAGATGACGTCAATGATAATCCACCAATGTTCAGTCAGTCGATATTTTATGGTAGCATAAGGGAAGATGCCTCCACTGGTTCAACAGTATTGAAGGTAAGTACTCCTCTCTTCTTTCTTTCATTATTTATCTTTGATTTTTACTGGTTGTATTTTTGGTGAGCTACAGTGCGATGCTTTTATTCATTTTTATGTTGCTGCATGCTAATTTTACAACTGTTGTTGCTTCCTAAGGCAAGGGGTTTTAATAATTTTTCCATTAGCGCCTGCTTATGGGGTGATCGGAGGCAGTGCCCGGAAGGGGGGCCGCAGACGATACCCAAGTACAAGAGCTTGATCGCAGGCTAAACAGACGGCGGTAGACTGGAAATAAGCGGCATTTGTTTAAACCGCTGTCCAGATAGATAAGAATGATCAATTAATGTCACCATAAAGGAAATTTTGATCGTGCTTAAGATGTGAACAGTTTCAAATGACAAAACAGAACGCTAGAGTATAAGATACGGAGAGCGTGAGGGAATTCCTCCAGGGTCTAGCAAAGCGTGATAAAGAAATTAAGTGAAAGATCCGCGAATTGAGGCTTCCACCATACTATCCTACCGGTCGAAGAAGGTTCACTTAGACTTTTGTAATTCATTTCACAGGTTGAAGCAAAAGATGACGATGAAGGGCCAAACGGTCAACTACAATTCGATTTGCAAGGAAAAGGCAGTAGAAATTTCAGTATTGATTCACGTGGCTTCATACAGACTTCCACACCTTTGGATTACGAGAAGACGAGCTCCTATATCCTGACTGTCATCGCAAAGGATAGTGGATCTCCTGCGCAAACCGCGTCTGCGAAAGTTAACATTACCATTGTCAACGTGGACGACAACGTTCCTGTATTCGAGACGTCCTCGGCACCGACGAAGGTCCGCGAAGACGTTGCTATAGGAACTCGAGTTGTGCGCTTGAATGCTACGGACGCCGACGGAAATGATTTAACATTTCACATAATAGGCGGTAATGTGGGTGGTGCTTTTGCTATACAGAATTCCACTGGACTGGTAACAGTTGCGACGAAGCTTGATCGCGAAAACGTTGCGAAATACCATTTGGCGGTGCGTGCGACCGATACAAGTGGAAAGTCCGTGAATAACAATGCAACAATTGAGGTGATGGACGTGAATGATAACGCACCAAAATTCACCAGTCCCAGCTATTCTAAAGATATAATGGAGAACTTAGCATCAGGTATGAAATTTCTAATACATATTATTTCGTTTAGAGAAAGCGTGACTTTTTCTCTGGGCTCTCCTGGAAAGGCCAAGAAGGTTTGGGTAGGATATTTAAAGAAATTCTTAATTGCGTTGTTTTTGCTTTACCTCACCTTGTGATTTGTCGTTGAAAACCTGCGCTATCTTATTCAAAACTACCTCCCCTCCCTTACACCCCCAATCAGCTTTGCTTTGACTCATTATCGCCGCTCTGTGATAAACACCCTTTGTGACTTCTTTGATATTTGCTCTCTCTATAGCCGATTGAAATATGCTTCATTATTTACATTTGTATTTGTACGGAAACTTTTGCCCTCTTCAAGCACACATTTTTGACGAATTATTTGGTATAGGGAGGGGGATGATAGATGTCATCACATTTAAATTGCAATTTTTTTCTCTTTCTGTGTCTATCAGGTCAACTGGTTGCTACCGTTGAGGCAACAGACAAAGATATTGGTGACAATGCTATCATCAGCTACAAGATAACCTCCGGCGAAAGCAACAAGTTCACAATCGATTCTAAAACTGGTGTTATAACAACATCTGAGAAGCTAGACCGTGAAGTAGCGTCTTCGTATCGATTGGTCATCACGGCCAAAGATCAGGGAAAACCTTCTCTTTCTTCCACCACTACTGTGTCGGTAACAGTCCTCGATGAAAACGATAACTCACCGGAATTCTCGAAACCTTTCTACCAAGCGTCTGTACTCGAAAACACCGCCCTTACAACAAACGTATTGCACGTGATGGCCACAGATCTTGACGATGGCTCCAACGGTCTGGTGACTTTTTCCGTTTTGTCTGGAAATACCAATGATGCGTTTAAGATAGATAACTCAACAGGCTTTTTATCTGTTAATCAAAATTTGGACAGAGAGGCTGTCGCCTTCTACAGTTTATACATCAGTGCTTCTGATAACGCCCCAAACCCTAAGCGTAACTTTGTTCGAGTTAATTTCACCGTTTTGGACAAGAACGACAACAGCCCAGTATTTGTCAATGTGGAGAATTTTACAGTTGTAGAAAATGTGGCGATTGGTGCCAACGTGGGTTTAGTCTCTGCAACAGACGCCGATGCTGGAAGTAATGGTGAAATCAGGTTTTCAATTGTCAAAGGCAACGATGATAATGCTTTCCGTATAGATCCTGTTTCTGGTCAAGTAAAGGTGAATGGCAAAATCGACCGAGAGAAAACTGATCGGTACACCCTGACTGTAATGGCGTCTGACCAGGGAAAAACATCCATGAAAACCACGCAGAATTTCTATGTGACGGTGGAAGACCAAAATGACAACCCACCAAAATTTGACGCAAACGTTTTTGAAGGTTTGTAAAATTTTGTCCTTTAAACAGTATTTATTCGTTGTCATACTTCTCAAGCCAAAGGCATATAGTTCGGTCAACCCTTTAAACTCCCATGAGTGACCAAGACAGAATTTCCTCCTACAGTATCAATACAATATCAACCAGAAAAGTGATGAGAATAAAGAAAAATATTAATTAGGGGATTATTAGTTGATCCAATACCAAATTCTCCAGATTAACATCACAAGAACTACATGACAGACAGTAAGGAGAATTACTAGTGAGATCGTGGGAGTTAAGGGTTAAGGTATCGGTCATTATGTGTCGCCTGGTGAGTTGAAAAGGAGATCAAATGGTTCTCATGGGGGGACAGAGGGAGGATCAGTGTTCGCTAACTGAGTATAAGGAAGGACCACAGAAAATTGACTGTTGATAAACTGCCGTGGGGGGGGGGGGGGTCATGTCATATGAATATCACAGAGCCTTATTGGGGGATTAGTGAACTCAACTAAGATCCTTCGACCGCCCACAAACGATAAATAACGATCTTTTCGTAAGTGCAATATATACATGTACCTGCACAATGTTTTTTTGTGTGTTATAATGATAAATATTCTTTTATTGTCTCCTTGTAGGTACTGTCGAAGAGAATGCTGCTACAGTTGTCGACGTCGTTCCGGTGAAAGCAACGGATGCCGATGTGGGATCCAATGCAGACATCACCTACCGAATCACGGGAGGCAATTCAGGATCATTCTTTGCCATAAACATTAGCACCGGCATCATCAGCACCACTGCGCAACTGGATTTTGAAAAAACGCCGGCATTTAACTTAACTGTTTCTGCTTCGGATTCCAAGTTCACGACCTTTGTCAGCGTGATCATTGAAGTGGTTAATGAAAACGATAATGATCCTTCGTTCCCACGGCCGATGTACTACGCAAACGTCGCAGAAAATTCTGCTGTGGTTACCTCCGTAGTGATAGTCATTGCTTCTGATGTCGATCCGTTCGGTCAGCTCACTTACTCCATCGAATCTGTTCAACCTGGCAACCATAGTGATGCTTTTAGTATAGACTTAACCTCTGGTCTAATTTCAACCGCTGACGTGCTGGACAGAGAAATGATTGACAGCTATGTCATAACTGTCAAGGCAACGGACGGAGGAAAACCATCTCGTCACGGTTTTACATCAGTTATAGTTAATGTAACTGATACAAATGACAATCCTCCCGTTTTCAACAGTAGCTCAGTAACCGCTGTTATTTCTGAAGCATCACCTGTCTCTACCTTTGTGACAAAAATTACCGCCACCGACTTAGACTCTGGAAGCAATGCTGAAATATCTTACAGCATAATTTCAGGAAATGAAATGTCAGCTTTTGTTATTTCTCCAAATACTGGTATTATAACAACCAATATGAAACTCGACAGAGAAAATATTTCAAACTACGCCCTTATCTGTCGAGCTACCGATCGTGGAAACAATCCATTGCATTCCATGTCACTCATTGTTCACGTGACTCTATCAGATGTGAATGACAACGCACCCATATTTGATCAATCAGTGTACATGGTGAATGTGACCGAAGATGTTTCATCCGGGACTGTAGTAGAAGAGATGCACGCTGTGGATAAGGACGCCGGGCTCAACGGAATTGTTAGTTACCGCATCACGGCCGGAAATGACGATGGTACTTTTGATATCGGAAATGGAACTGGTGAGTGAATGTTTCTTTAGTTGGTGAACGTCTCCTTTATTTTTAATGTGTGATTCAGGGATGATTTTGTAGGGAGGAATTAGATGCTAAGATGCTAGTTACTTTTAGGGGCTAAAGGGTTTACTCCCATTTTGTTTGGACTTTCTTTCAGGTGTTGTGACAGTTTCTGGAAAAGTTGATCGGGAGAAGCAAGATTCTCACACATTAACTATCACAGCAAGTGATTCTGGCGATCCAAAACAGAGCTCCTCTGTACAACTGCTGATCACAGTGACTGATGTAAACGATAATGCACCACTCTTCAATACTTCCTCTCTTCAAGGCGCAGTCTTAGAGAACTCTCCCGTCGGAACTTCCGTCATGCACGTTATGGCTACGGATGCCGACGTCGGAGAGAACGCCCAACTGATGTTTAACTTCACTTCAAAGGTCTACGCGGATCTTTTCGCCATCGACTCTACCAGTGGGGAGATTACTGCGTTGAAATCACTCGATCGCGAAAAGCAAGATCTTTACAAATTGAAAATTAGTGTAAGCGATCACGGAGACCCGCGCTTATCCTCATCCGCTGACGTCACGATCACTGTCCTTGATGTGGATGACAACTGTCCGAAGTTTGTACCCGCAGAGTATAATGTGACAATTAGTGAAAATTTGCCATTCAATCAGAGCATTGTTCAAGTGACGGCTACTGATGCAGATGTGAAGGATAATGAAAAGATGTTGTATGCAATTTGGCAAGGAAATGAAGGAGGGGCTTTTACAATCGATAGACATGGTATGGTAATTTATGATAAGATAGAAATAATTCATGTCCTGTAAACGTTCAGTCAAGTAACACAGTGGTCAAACGTTAGGCATGCATGGAATCAGTTCTGGCAGGCAACGCACGAGTTTCCCTCGCAAAATTTCAGAGGGAAACAAGAAACAACCCCCTTTTCGCAAAATCAGTGAAAGAAAATTGACGTGTTAATAGAAATTTAATCATAGGGGAAAAAAAGTATGGAAATGGAACACAGAGCTTATTCAAGTACGGTATACTGCAGATTTACCATTCTGTTTTTAGTTTTGCCAAAAAAGTTGTACGCTTTTACAACACCGTAATTTACTAGCCTGAGAGGTTGTTTGTAACTCGTGTGAGAAAACTTGTTTCTGACAGCCTGAAAGCACGCCAGCTATTCATCTAACGTACGCATATACGCAGACGTTTTACCGCTGTGTCCTATGGGTTGAAGTAGATTTAAATGAAACGTGATTATTAGATGAAGTCTAACGATGGTAAATTGCTGATTCAGGACTACTGAAAATTAGAGACTGTGCGAGAATTTAAGTATCACACTGGTTATTTAGCTGTGAACTTCGAAAGTAGCAAATATTAAAAACATAATTCCCCTGCTGAAAAAGCACTATGCAATAGTGATGGCTAGAACTGCTGACATCTTGTTTATCATCCGTTTACTGCGTGATTTTCGTTAGCTGTAAAAAAAAATTTTTTATACCTCAATTACCTTTAAAGCCACCTTTTCTCTGTCTCAGGATTCGTAAGAGTTAGCTCCGCCGGAGTTGACCGAGAAGTTTCACCTACTTTCCAATTGGTGATCCGGGCAGGTCGTGCCGACTGTGGTATCAACAACACCGGCGATGGAAACACGGGTAAGAAATACCAATGAAAATCCTGTTTAAGGAAAGGCCAAAGAGGGTTCAGAGTCAAATTTGAATTTTTTACAGCTGCTTTTTGTATCTCTGAATATCTCAACCTCTTTGTGTTTTGTTTTCTGACTTTGCCATAGTTTGATGAATTGGCAACAGAATTTCGTGTAGTCCAATTTTCTGTAATTAACGCGGAACTAAACAGAAACAATCTCTCGCTTCGCTGTCGCCTGATTTTGGGAATCACTTGTACGACTGTAGACTCCAATCAGTACTCCAATGGGTCCTATCACCATTAATGATATCGACCAGATCCCTTTAGTTGGATTGCTATCGAACACTTATGCATGGATCAATAACGAAACAACTTTTCAATACCGGTGTTTTCACAGCCAAACTGTGGATGCAGACTTCAAGAGCAACCTCTCATAGATATTATTTTTCCTTTGATTTTCAACAGCCGAAGGAGGACCAGACGACAGATTAGCTGCTACAGCCATCGTCAACCTTATTGTAACCGATCAAAATGACAACGCTCCTCGCTTTGCTCGCCCCAACTATGAATTCCCCCTCAGCAGCCTCAATGATACGAATATTGGCCGAGTTCAGGCGATTGATGAGGATCTTGATTCAGGCGGAGTCGTAAAATTCCGACTTTTACAACAGATTGAGGTGAGTTTAGGTATCTCAAAGCTATGTTACAAAGTAACGCATGGCCGCCGGAGTGAAGATGTTTTGCACAGATCTTCCTCTTGGACGTTACGCATAAAAGCATAAAATCAATCCACTCAACCTCTTGTAACAGAATGAAACACATACTTCTACTACTACTAAAACTAACAACTACTATTACTACCATTACTATTACTATTACTACTACTACCACTACGGCCTCTACGGTTATATTTCAGGTACGATCAAAGAAGGGAAGCCTCTGAATTAAGAACTGCCGAGTAAATTTGTCAAAATAGCAAAACTGTTTTATATTCCATTGCAATTTTGACAAAAAGTATGATCTTGTCATTGGTCTAAATATTTACTTGACATGTGAACTTAACGCGACACAACCTCCTCTACTTTCAATTATAGGTGGAGAGAAAGTGGAAAGTGACGGTACAGGCGTATGATATGGGTACCCCGAGTCTTAACAACTCTATTGATGTCCTTGTTACCTCAAGGTACGATAAGTTGTCCTAATCGTTTTATTATTTTTCTTCAAGTATCAATTTTAAATGTGGAAAAATCTTCCCCTAAGCAACTGAAACCGGGATACCCTCCGACATAACGAGCTTTGTAGCGTGTAAGCTGTCATTGCCTTAACTTCACTTGTCTTCTCTTACAGGATCACTTGTCAAGCTATGGTTTTTAAAGTCACCGAGGATGGTATGATACAGGCAGACACTTTGTGTAATTTTGTTGAGATTCCAACGACAGCAAAGCGTCTTGTGGGCGATAAACATCAAGTAAATATATTTCAAACTCTTATTATTTTAAGAGGTTTTAAACTTAGTTTTCATTTCTCTTGAATATACTTACCAGCGGTTTTAGATGCAAACAGATGAAAACATGGTCAGTACAGGTGGGTAAAGGTTAGGAAAGCCGACGGACCAGAACAAAAGTAAATTTATTTGAGAGCCAATGAGAAGTTAACGCATTGAGCGTGGGAAAAGTGAGTGATTCACTCGCCGCGACAGGTATTAACATTGCAACTGATTGGTTGAGAAAGAGATGCGAGTTTTTTTAACCAATCACAGGACGTAGTGGAATAAAATCTGTGCTTTCCAAGAATACTGCTTTCGATGCTCGTTTCAGAAAATCATTCCAACGTAAATTGGATTTTTAAAAAGTTCCATGGTCATGTAGATATTAATGCTGTTTGGAGCTTCCATTGTCATCTAACGATCGATAGGGAGGCTTCCATAAAAGTCTGGTTCTTGCTTCCCTAGAAACTCATGTTTCTTTGTTTACTTGTTTTAATGTTTACCGTGCAACTGTTTCTATAGATGAAATGCTCAGCAAAGGGTAACACTCTTCCCCAGTACCGCTGGATGAAGGACGGTCGATTTGTGTCAAACTGGGATGATCTTGGCGACTACGTCATTGAACATGTGACCGAGGAGGACGAAGGCAGCTACACGTGCCTGGCCACGAGCTCAGCTGGCTTGATACAGTCCAGTGTTGCTTATATGACAGTGAATGGTAAGATGGTTTTCTCTTGTTCATTTTCAATTAGTCAGTTAGTGTGTTAAGACGAGTTAAGTTTGCTCACTTTCAGTAAGTTAGTGGGTCAATCAAGTCAGTTACCCAATCAGTTGGTCGGTCAGCTAGCCTGTAACTCATTCAGTCAGTCTGTCTGTTGGTCCGTCTAACTGTCTGTCTGTCTGTCAGCCTGACTGTCTTTCTATCTGTACGTTTGTTTGTTAGCCTGATTGTCTTTCTGTCTGTCTTTCTGTCTATCTGTCAGTCTGTTTGTCAGTCAGTCAGATACTCAGTCGGTCAGTCAGTCAATCATCAGTTAATCGTAAAGTCTGGCTGTTGAGGTACAGGTAGTCCTAAAAAATACTGTTTTCACGTCATTACCAGAGTTAATTGATCAAACAATGATCAACTAACCTAATTGTCATTTAGGAACAACTGAGGCGACCGCTGAACGAACGCTCCAATAAAGTAGGTCTGCAATGCGTAAGCAGACCATCCCATCTCAACTAATTCATTTTTCTGTGATCAATAGACCCACCAAAGATTGTGGCGCATCCACAAAACAGCAGTGTAGAGCTGGGTGGTACAGTGACACTAGCGTGTAGTGCCACTGGAGATCCTCTACCTGAACTTCAATGGTACAAGGACAATATCCCAATGGTGGAAACTAACGAGATTGATCCATTCAAACCGGAACTCGTGCTTAAGGATGCGCTTGCACAAGATGAGGCGCGATATTTCTGCGAAGCTAGGAACGTGGCTGGTAAAGTGAGGTCTGACTGGGCAACGCTCAAGGTGTTTGGTGAGTACCTGAAGTAAAAAGATGTTCCTAGTCTGTGTAACTGCGCCTGCCTAAGCCTTACGTGAAGATTAAAAATTGTTAAGGGAGTGGGAGGGTAACTTTTGAGGGATTATCGTCTCATCCAGGAGAATTTCCAACACTTCTAGTCGCTTACCGAATAATGAATGAGGGGTGCGATATAAGGCATTATTTTTTTTTTCTGAAAGGTAGCTTTGTTGCATTTTTGATCCATTTTCAGGTAAGAAGGCACTTGTCTCTATGACACTCTCGGTGACAAATCCGAACCAAGAAGGAACCTGCCAGATGTTCGACAAGAAAGCGTTTCAAGTAAGCCGTGATTCACTTGAAAATTGATTCTATTGATCTCAGGATTCAGTTCTGCCTCATCTAACTTCGTTGATTTGTATTTCCAGCAACTCCTCAGCAAGGCTTTGAAGGCCAATGTGGAAGTAATCGGCTTTTCAGCGCCCAACCGGTGTGAAGAACATCCATGTAATTCCAACCCGTGTAAAAATGGCGCCGTCTGCTCCAAACAAGGCCCTCAGTATGACTGTTTATGTAGACCGGGATGGACTGGGGACCACTGTGAGCTGGATGTTGATGAATGCAGTGGAGGTAAGCTTGGGAACCAATAAATGAAGTCTCGTTGTAGTCAAGGTGAAATTGATAGTCGTAATCTGTCACTCTAGCTAAATTCTGAAATTTAGGGGCTTTTTTTGGCCTGCTTTCGACTCCTAAGTATTTAATTCTAAACATTACAGCAGAGCCACATGGCAATGGTTTTGTTAACGACTGAAAACGATAAACTTTGATAAATTTATGCCTTGACCTATAAGAGTGACTGGCATCTAATTTCTCCATACAACAACACCCCTGAATCAAACATCATGGTTATGAGAGTACAGGAAATGACCACCCACACAAGAGTCTCTTATTCTATAACAAACTCTCTTTGTCATTACTATAGGTGACGAATAGAGAGCAGTTTGGAGAATATTTAAACAACTGAATTTTCGAGATGTGAAAAGCTCGACTTAGTTTCATTTACAATTGGAGGACTTTTGGAAAGCCATGTATAAGTAGCATACTGAATGAAATTTTTGTCTGTCTCGTTTAGATCCTTGCTTTTCTAATGGTGCATGCACAAATACAGCTGGCTCGTACAACTGCAACTGTACATCGGCGAAGACAGGCAAAAACTGTGAACTGGAAAAGAAAGCATGTGAAGGTAATCCGTGTAATGGCTCCAAGATCTGTGCGTTGTCTGAACGCGCTCTTCATGGATATCAGTGCGTTGACAAGGAGCTGGAAATGGTTATGGTGTTATCCGTGGGTCAACGAGGAAGTCTATTTGATCTTGAAAAACAAGTCGAGAATATTATCCGGTCTGCACCGAACAACGTGAATGAGGTGAGTTGGAGGGTACTTCGATCGATTGACGTAACAGCAAAACCAAAGTAATCGGCCTATCAGATCAAAGAAAAATCTCGCAGAAAACCGATTAGAGCTCAGACTAAAAATAAGGTAATTGGTTGAAGCATAAACAAACGCCACTGCCCAGGTCTCGTTCTAGGTCTTGCGCTCTATTGGTCCTGAGAAGGTGGAACAAGTTTTTCTGGAGCCATCACAGGTCGAAGTTAGACAAAACCAATAATAGCTTTCTGACAATTAATGTTGAATTGCCATAAAGTGATAAGAAATGAAAACGTAAAAGAGAAGAAACAAATAAATTTATCATTTAATTTTCCTCGTGTAAAATATAAATGCTTGTTTCTCATCTCATTCGTGATCACATCTGTAGGGGGGGAGGGGGGAAGTTAACTTTTCGATAAAATGTGCGCTTGCCCCTTGCATATAACTTTATAGCTTCATGGGTTGAGACGCCGTTGGATTAAAAAACTGGTCTTTCTCCATTTCCTTATCGTCCGCAGGTTAAACATTGATTTACAGGAAACTCCCTGATATATTTTCAATCCTAACTCATTTATTCATTTCCATCTATTTCTTTATTTGTCCTCAAAAGAGTGTGAATGCCAGGCGACTCCGTAGGGCTGGTGTTGAATTGGACTATGGCGCATGCTCTGTCCGTGTCACTAAATACCAAGAAGGCAAGGTTCATTTTGTGCTACTGTGTCCACCGGAAATGAAGCCACTTGAGCCGCAAAGTGCTCAGCGGTTTGTTTGTGGTTTGTTATTTGATGCTGGTCGTTCGACATCTTGTGGTGGAAGTGATTCGATGAAGACGCCGATTCCACCAACAACCACCCCGCCGATGGCGCCAATGGAGTAAGTCGCGTTTAATCAATAATTTTGCAAGGTTATTCTTTTAAAACAGAAGACTCGCGTCATATCCTTCCAATTTATTAACCGCTGGCTTGAAGAAGTGATGAACATGTAATTCCCTTCACAAGCGCAATATCTTATCCAGCAGTTTTAAAATTAAGAAACCCATAATTTTTAATCAAAATTATGATCAGATTCCTCCATAGGAAAGAAAAATCCTCCAAATGTGCCCTCTCCTAAAGTGTGACACGGATCCGAATCCCGACGAAGCCTAGATTTGTCTTTTAGGCTTTTTTTTCTGGAATTGCTTAAATTGAGGATCATTGCTTGTCTTCAATTAAAAAAGTGTTATGTTGCGTCGCATGATAACCAGCGAATCATTTACCATTTCTGAAAATCTGACATTTCGAGAAGAATAAGGGGGGCGAGGGTGTTTAAATTTACATTCACCCGTAGACACTTGGTTTTGGCCACACCCATGGTCACGCTGACGTGACGTGACGTCTCGTGAAAGATACGATGAGCCTTCTGCAATTTTAACAGCAACACAAATCAAAGTAAAAATTAAAAATTAAAAAAGTCAAGAGGAAAACACTAACCCTTGATAACCTGTTTCCTTTCTACAGAGTAAAGCTTGAGCTCTTTGCCCGCGACAAGTCTGGTAACGATTTAAACTCCGCAGAAGTGATCGATATGATAAACAGTGGAAAAATGGAGGAGTTGGAACAAAATGGTTTTAAAATTGAAAAAGCTACAGCTAGTGAGTATCATTATTCTTTTCGTCCTGAATTAGGGGAACAAGGGGAAGGTTTTGGTTATCATAATAGAATTTACCTGTTTAGTCCCCTTTATGCTCTGTTGACGACGACTATTGCCCCCTCCGTGATTCACACCCAAACCCCTTCCCCTAGTGATTGCATATGTCTCGCAGCTGTTGAGCTTTGAAACACTGTGGAACTAGGCTGTGCGAAATCATTTCGGGTTTGTCCCTTGAGCAGGTAGAATCCGCTTCCTGTTGAACATAGCATAATTTATTTTGACGTCAATTTTTTGAGAGTGATTATTACAGGCGACAAGCGGTAAGGGTCTGGTCATTAGGTGTCGCCTGCGGGAAGGGAGATCGGAAGAAATTGATTGTGTCGCGAATAAAATTTACATAAGGCTCTCTAATATTCTTAAGATCCCAACTGATTTTCTGTAGTGCCCCTTTACACTCTGTTGGTGACGACTGATCCCCTCATCCGCTCCTCTGAAAACCAAGTGATCCTCCAAACTCTTCCACGAAGTTCTTCCCACAAATTTTTGATCATATCATAACGTAATCTTGTACGTGAATATTTCATTTTTTTTATAACTAATTGAATGTGTTCCTTTATCTTTTTTAGGCTACACGGAACCTTCTAAAGGTAGGCCGATTATTGAATGATATAACATTAAAAGGCTTAATCAATATAACATTTCTTATGCTAATGAAGGGTGTGTCCTCCACCTGTCAACCTCTTCCCTTTGGGTTCCGCGGTCGATTTTGAAAATGGCACCAGATCACCTTTTTTAAAACGACCGAGAAAATCCTGGGGACGAGGTTGTTCGCTGGTAGGCTGAACGCAATTTCTAATTCATCTAGGGATAGCCATCAAGATCCAATTTTGAAAAACAATATTTGTTGGACTGCAATTTAATAACGCAGTTCTAGAACTCAATTTGGAAAGGTATTTACTCGCACTAACCAATGTTAAAATGTGCTTTATTTTGCAGCTGATCCCCCGTCTAAAGTTGGTTTGATCGTCGGTCTGACCATTGGACTGCTAGTCCTTATCATTGCAGTAATTGCAGCTGGAATAGTTATCACCAAAAGGTAATTAAGTGATACCCCATGAGTCTGTTGTATCTGAACCGATAGTTTCGAATTCCGCAATGGCAATCGATTTGCATCTCAAAGGATTTGATCTGTATTTGCCGGAAGAGAATAATTGCGCCACTTGAACAGGGGTGGGGTGAGGGGCCGTGGGGATGGGGATGGATTTTGATTCGTCAATTTAACAGGCCGTTCTCAATAGCATGGCCCGTTGAAATTAAAGGCTATTTCTGTTAACGGCAATTGTTCTTAGCTTTAAAGAATATTTGAAAGTTTGACTATCTTATTTTCTTCAAAATTTTTGTCCGAACGATTTAACCGTTGATCAACGATTTCGAGTTGGCCCGTTTTGCTTTCGACTTGTGTCAGTTATTCACAGCCATTCTGCAAACCCATCAAACATAAAGAAGAGGTATCATATCTCTGACCTTCTCTTCCAAGCCGGTAATCTAGGAAAAGTATATTTGTCTCTCCTCTTCGATTTTTAATCTATCATCAAAAGTAAGTGATATTCATCTTCCCTTCAGACGAAAGAAGCCACAGAACTTTCACTACTCGCTTCAACAAAGGGCTGCAATGGCTCGCAAGGACAGCCAGGAGTCCATTCTCGGCTGTGATCGAGCCGTAAAAGACCTCTCCCGTTCAGAGAAGCATTACCTTAATGTCGCGTACGAAGAAAACTGCGACATGTCCGATGAAGAGGGGCAGCAATTCATGGTCCAGGTCGATCTTGGCAAATCAAAAAGCAGGAAGATATCTATGGTTAGTATTTATGGTACCAGTAACCGATCGTGACGAGACAAGCTTAAAAATTTACAATTTTACTCGTTCTATTTACGCGTTTGACACATTTGACATCGTTGCTCTTAGCCAATTGGCAGGATGCGTATCAGATTTGAACCTTGTACTGGCCTAGCTCACAAGAGAGAGTCTTTGTGGCTCAGCGTGAGAGCAATAGAGTGCGTAACTCGAAGGAATGAGGTTGATTCGATTCTCTTGGGTTTCCTGACGAGACGAAAAACATCGATCTTTCTCTTTAATCGATCGTCTTTATTGCATTATTGCTTTACTTTTCCTTTTAGCACGCACGGGATCGCATTGTGGAATATATTTTTAGAACGCTTTATCAAAAAATTGACGCTCCCTTTTCAATTTGGGTGTAAGCCACAGAAAGCTCAAGGTCGTGGTATCTTCACAGAGTACAACAACATCAGCAACAAACGCTCTTTTTCTATGAGGTTGCATGACTACATTGCAAACAAAATCGACTGCGCTCCAATCAATATTTTCATTCATTTTCTAGGTGTGCGACGAGCCGTATTTCTACGAGAAGATCACTACACTAGAGGCAGAAGAAATGCTGTCTTCTTTGGTACAACCAGGAACCTTCCTTGTGCGTGAGGGAGCCAGTAGCAAGGAGTTTATTTTGACAGTGCGTGCACCAGAGGGCGGACCTTCTTTTAGACACCTTCCATTTAAGTACGACAAGGCCAGCGATGCTCTCCTGGTAACAAACTTTGGTGCCATGGACGATGAAATGAGTTTCCATTCAATGCAAGAGCTTGTCAGTCATTTTCAAGTTACACCGATCACATTTGACGAGGATTCGCCTGATGTTGTCCTTACGCATCCTTGGAATAAGAGTGAAGTGTAAAGCTGTTTTCTTGATGGTTGACTGGAGAATGGATTAAAAAAGATACAGGAATTGTATTTTAATTTCAAAGCCTACGAATTTTGACCCATTTATTTAACTCTTGTTATTAAAGTTGAAAAAGTCTAAAATTTTTAACTTGGCAATTTATATTCTCGATAGCAAGATCAAGGCTAAAACTGGCATTATGGCCGTAATTGTTTGTAATTAAGTGATGTTCGTTGTTTTCTTGTTGAAAAGTCGATCGTCTTTTAGTAAAGACGCTTTATTTCAAGTATTTGTAAGCATCTTGAACACTAACTAACTCTTTCTTTTAAATTAAATGAAATGCAGTGGAACTTCCATTATGGGGACATCGTCGAAACAAAACAAAAAAAAGATGTTCCATAATTAAAGGTTCCTTTTCAATGAAGGAAACAAATACAAAGTTTGTGTAGTGGAACCTCCATTCAAGGGACTAAAAAAGGGTAATACAAAGTGTCCCTTGAAAAAATGTTTTCGTCTATTAATAGCTCATTATAGATTCAAATACCTGCCGGGTAAACGTTGATTTATTTTTTAACTCGTTTAACTCGAACCCCCGTTAACTCGAAGATGATCCGATTTCCCTTGATCCCGTTTTTCAGTAATTTACAATCAGCTGACTCAAACTCCCGCAGACGCGAACCATTCTTTGTTTCTTTTGGGAGTTCCAGTCAGCGGGTCTCTGCTGTAATCTCACTTTTGTTTTTATTACAAATTAAAGTTGAGTTCCGGAGTAGCTACATTTGAGATCAGTATTTAACCTTAAAATCTCACCGTCATTATCATATTGTTAAGCTATCACTAAGGGCTTTATTAGAGGTCAGTATTCCTCTAACGACCTACCTATCACCGTTCATCGTCATCATCATCATTTTCATCATCGTCATCAATAATTTAACATGTTGAATTATATTGTTAGCTAATTTACAAGATTATAGTTGTGATGCTTTCACGAGTGTTTTCCGATATTTAATTAATAATTAATGAAATAATTTAAAAGTGTTGATGCATCGGTTAAGAACAAACTATTAAATTCGATTAAGAGATGGACAGAAACACATATGCGACCTGTATTATAATTTTATGAAAACAATGTCGCTGGTGTGGATATGTAAAGTAATTTGTCAAAAATAAAGATAATTTATTAAAATTCAAATCGAAGTTGTAGTTATTTAATGTTCAAACTCTCTCGAAATTTATGGTATCCAACACCCCACCCACCCCTCTCCCACTGAAAAAGACATCAAATGGGAGATTTTACGGGAAATATGCAGTACACCTCTTGTTGATTTTAAATACCACTGACCAAAGGTACAGTTAACCTAGCGCGCGTTAAACAAACCTCAACCGTCTTTCGATGAAACGTTCTTGGAAGGTAAGAGCTCTCGTGCGAAATGAAGATTTTAACTTGGAATACCAACGGAATGCGTGCCTCTAGACGTGAAAGATCGTTGAAAGGCATTTTAGATTTCCTCGAAGTTGATGTTATCTGTTTGCAAGAGACGAAAGTTACTCGTGAGTAAGCACTGTGCAGGTGCAAGTTATCGAATGCTAATGAAATGAAATGTCAAGATTTTACCTTCCCCAGCTATATTCTTTTCCTTGCACTGCAGGTATGTTCTTAGTGACATGAGCTTTAAACTGCAAACTGTGTTTTTTAATAACCAGACCCCTTGGCAGCGAGCCTTCGCATCTGTCAAGAATCCTTTTTTTTAATTTGATAACAGATGAACCAAGAACGAGGTGAGAGGTTTCTTTAATTTTTTGGTGGTCATTTTGAAAAAACTTGTGTAGAAGTCCGGAACGGATTGCGCCAATGGACATATGAAAAATAAAATCTTTGTTCCTAATTTGCATTGATTCTTTATTGACTAGTCCAGAATTACCACAACCCGAGAATACTAAAATCCCTTTAATTTTTTTCTTCACGATTTCATTGTTTAAAACTAATGGCCTCACTCAATTTTGGGAAAATAATTCTAAGTCTGCTCGACAGCATTGATAACTGGTTTGTAAGAGTGCGCCCAAATCTGTTTCATCTTGTGCATCAAATGCAGACGCACGCTCTTATCAAATTCCATTGGTTTGAGCATGAATTATGGAATTTGTTTCATTAATACGATGGCACGTACATTTCAGTTAATCTTCATTTGTCTTTTAAAACAAGTACTTGTGGATATGATACTGTTAGATACTGGGTATTTTGCATTTCTATTGTTTTAAGGCTTAGAAGAAATGGAATATAAAGTCACAAATAATGGTAACGTACGCGATTTTGTGAAAGCGGGATATAGACCGCTGAAAACTCGAATACTAAACCGGAAGTCTACAGCTAACTATGAACGTGCTAACGATCATTTGCAGTAGACCGAAATCAATGTTAGATTCTTTTCTTTCGCACCTCACAGGGATTGCAATAAAACCAAGTAATTATTTGTTGTAGCGCTAATTTTGAATAGCAATGATTTTTAAATCTACTTCAAACGACAATAAAACAGACTACCCAAAATAGTCAAAAGTGTTTCATGTAAATTGATTCGATTGCAACACGTCGTTACAAGTTCAGATGCATTTGAAAAAAAAAAAAAAAAAATTCTGTAAATGCATACAGAAATGATAAAGTTATTTTGACTAAGGAATTCCCTGAGACAGTCAGAACTCGGTGGAAGTAAGCATTAGCGATTTCTTTGATCGTAAAGATCGCTGTCAGTAATGTGATGAATCTCTTGGCTACCACGACCTTATTAAATGTAATTCATAATCACACCTTGTGATTACACGGAGACTATATATTGACGTAATGTTGAGTTGTATGGTTGTCTTTGTCTTTCCCTCTTTACTTTCGACTGGTCTTTCAACAAGTAATAGGATTTTTGTCATGCGAAGAAACAATCAGAATATAATCACTGCGATCAGTAGAGATAACGCTGAGATCATTACATTGAACATCGCGCGGTTCGAGTATGTGAGACGTAATTTCTCTGCCTTGCTGAGATTTTAGTGAACTTTGTTTTGAGTTAAAGATCCCTTTAGTCGTCATTAAGCGCATAAGAATACGCCCTCCACAAATCTTTACCCGAGCCCTTACCAAGACCCATTAATGCTTGCTTATATGAGGAAATTCTTTCAAAAAGATCATAGAGCAAACTCTCGTGTCCTTTCCACCTCTTTTCACTTAATAAACTTCCTGCAGAGTAGCTAAACGGTTTAAGTGTGTTTGTCTTCGTAATATAAATTGTTACCAAAGCTTGCTTTAAGGCTATGTGCTTTAAATTAACCTATCTGAATCGTATTAATCCATACTGCGAGTTTTTAATTTACAAATTAGGCCAGTTTTTTTTTAATTTGACGTTCAATCAGAACCAAATCAGCTGACTGGTAAAGTTACTCGACATAGCAGGGTCGATTTGAGCTTTAATTTAAAATATTTAACTGTTTCTTACTGTTCGGTCAAAAGTCCTTTTACAGTTTGCAGGGATCAAAAAAAGCAAGATCCTACAAAGTATCCACGAAACACATTTTCATTGGTTACTTTTTTACCAATAAGAGCACGGATCTGAAATGACATCGCCATTTGGCACGAGATCTATCCCGTGTAAAAGTGATTGAAGTATTTTTCAAATTAGAGTCTGTACAATTGTAACAATTGAATGAATTTCAAATAATTAAATTTCAGCATTCGACATAAGATAATGATACTGAACAGGTATATTGTAATTTGTGAGCTTTTCATGCCTGGGTTTTGCTTTTTATATCCTTGCATTGCCAACATTATATTACCAGGTTGAGCAGCAGGGTCAAAATTGGATCCAAAACCCTTTTGATTGAATTTTTGACGAATTTTTACAAATATTTTTCTTAATTATTATTCAGTTCAGCTCTCTGCAACTATTATTTTCACCTTTGTAAGTTTATAGAAATACAGAAAGTGAGTTTTAAAGCTCTGAAAATAATTTTCAACCGCTCTTTAGAGTGAAAATCTCTTACTATTTATCCAGACTGGTCAAAGTTTCTGAAATCAACTGATCATGTATCAGTTTCAATCGCCTGAAACCAGTTTCAACACTTCAGTTTCGCCGTCTAATTTAAATTCAACTAACTTTGGTTCGACCCTATATAAAGAAAATTTTCAACCTTCAATTTCACCTTGAAATTACAGCTGCGCTAAGCAACGTATTTCTTCTCAACAACCGCTATACTCCCTTTTCTTCGGTTAGCAAAGGGTTTTTATCTAAATTTCTCAAATTCAACCTCTCTTAGAATTGAAGAGGACAACGATAGACTCAACTGGTTGAAATTGTTTCGCGATTGCCGTCGAAAGTCGAATGACGACTGTAAGCCGAATTTAATTTTATCCCCGCGATAACAAAGAATAATTGGTGCAGTATTTCGCAGCCGGTGTAGGTAAGCAACTTAACGTAGTAGAAGAATGTGCAGTTTGCTAATTTCACCCAGTTAATGGCTCTACATGCAATGTATTGTAATCCGTAGTGCATGTAACTTTGTTATTACAAGTAATGGTTTTCAAGAACCGAGCAATATTCAATTCAATGATGTCAGCGATATCTCTACTGATCGCATTGAGTTCCAACTTAATGTCAAGGTTTTTTTTATCAATATAACTGTTTTACAGGTTTGCAACACCAACTTCTCTGTAGCTTTTTAAAGTTCCGTTGCCTGAAAGGTGATTGGACAAGCCTTCACGTGTTTCCAAAGCGAAAGCCGCCAATCGTAAGTAAGTTTTCATTGTATCCTACGACCACCCGTATTTTATATTCTGATTGTTTCTTGGCATAACAAAAATCCTATTCCTTTTTGAAAGACCAGTCGAAAGTAGAGAGGAAAAGACAACTTTTTAAATCAACATTACGTCAATAGTGTAATTACCAGGTGTGATCATGAATAACATTTAATAAGGTCGTGAGAGCCAAGAGATTCATCACATTACTTACAGCGTTCTCAGTTTTCGATCAAAGAAATCGCTAATGCTTTCTTCCACCGAGTTCTGACTGTCTCAGGGAATTCTTTCAACAAATTAACTTCATCATTTTTTATGCATTTACAGAATTCCCATTTGCTTTTTTCAAACGCATCGGAACTTGTAACGACGTGTCGCAATCGAATCAATTTACTTGTAACGCCTTTGACTATGTTGGGTAATCAGTTATTGTCTTTTGAATTAGATTAAAAAATCATATGCATCGCTATTCAAAGTTAGTACTGCAACTTATAAATACTTGGTTTTATTGCAATCCCTATAGGGTGCGAAAGAAAAGAATCTGACATTGATTTCGGTCTCTTGCAAATGATCGTTAGCCCGTTCGTAGTTAGCTGTATACTTCCGGTTTTGTATTCGGATTTTCAGCCGTCTACATCCCGCTTTCACAAAATCACGTGCGTGACCTTAAATTGTCACTTTGTATATCATTTCTGCTAAGCATAAAAACAACAGAAATACCAAATACTTTACATTCAACAGTACTTTATTTACAAATACTTGATTTGAAAGAAATATTAAGACTAGAATATGCAATCATATCAGCGAAACAATTTTCATAATTCATTCGCAAACCACTGGAATTTTCTAAGACTGTGCGTCTACATTTAATACACAAGATAAAAAAGATTTGGACGCACTATTACAAACCAGTTATCTATGCTGTAGAATTTTCCAAAATTGTGTGAGGCCATTAGTTTTTAACAATCAAATCGTGAAGAAAAAAAATTAAAGGAACTTTAGTAATCTCGGGTTGTTGGAAAGCAAAGATTTTCATCTTCAAAAGTCCATTGGCATTGTCTCAAATTTTTAAATTCGATGAGGGATTACGACAAAGAACTACTTTAGATCCAGACATCATATAGGCTTCATTCTTGGACTTTCTTTTAAAAATGCCTCTCTTTTCTTTCATAGCAGTCACTGTTCTATGAATATACCGGATGCCGCATAAAAATTCTCCTCACAAGCTTTCATTCGAGTGGTCACACGCTGCCCGATAGTAGAGTGCGATAATTTTAAGTAATCCTCCACCTAGGAAGGTAATTTGAGATAGTTTACAACTTCTTACGGAGAACTTAGGCTAGACTGCATAAAGCAGCTTACAATCTTCTCTACAGAGGTACAACGTCA